TCTCCTACCTTCTCATCCTTGAAATCCTTAATTTTCTCTATAAAGCCTCACCTCAAGCATATAAGCCCAAGCTACTCATTCATCCTCCCACCTTTAGAACTCATAAATCTCTCTAAAATCGTAGTCATAGACACCATAGCATTCAAAGTCTGAAGTTTTTCTTTCATCAGCCATGCTCTTTGAAGCCCCATTCATTTGACTGCTATAAGCATCCCAACAACCATCACAGTCAAATAATCAAACCACCATAGTCATAGCTTCAAACAATAAATTCTCAATACCCAAACTTAAGCATATCAAACACCAAGACAAGCACAAGCATTCTCATTTGCTAAACTGTGGGTCTTTAGCTCTCACACTCTAAGCTCTCATGCCAAGCTCATATAATCTCAGTTCAGCATCAACAAATCATCTTCACCCATTTTCAGAGCTGTCAGAAACGTCAACAAAAACATGCAGCCGCTGGAAGAACAACAAAGTACTCCTCTAGGACTTTCTTCTCCTTCAGGATGCTTTGGGCCTAGTTCTCACTAACCCAGAAAAATGGGCAATGAAGGTTTGATTCACCACTCTATGGCAGTCCAAGAATCAACAAGTCTGAACAAGCCTTCTGATGAAAAAAGACCCAAACAATGGACCTAGAGGTACAAAGAACAACATATTTGAAATTGGGACCGATCAAACGGTCCGAACCTATTGAACTCGGATATCGCATAATAGGTGCAATATCCGTTCGACTATAAAACGATAACCAAATCCAAATCCGAGCATACCGTCGTGCCCAGGACGACAAGGGAAACAATTTAAAACTCAGTGGATTGCCACGCAATAGCCCACGAGCCGCCACCAGCCGACTGCAACGGTGGGTGTCTTGAGAGATTTTTTGGCAACGAAAAATATTCAAACCATCGGCCAATACCTATGCCAACATATTCAGATTAATAAGGGGATCAACTTTTGTTCTTAGACCACATCAAAAACTGATCAAAAATAGGCAAAAATGCGATCAAATCGTCGGCTTAATTGGGGATTAAAAATCAATCTCTCAAACCTCATAATTTACCCAAACCAAGCACATAAACAGGTAGATCACGATGAGAGGATGAAGTTTCATACCTGGTTAGACAATTTTGGCAGCCGGATTCCTCGAAAAATGCTAGAACACTGCCGGAAAACCTAACCCTTTTCTCAGCTTCGATTCAAGCTCACCATTAATGAATCAGATCTGGTCTTGGGTGGGTTTTGTAGAGGAGGACGAGAGGAAGAGATTTCGTGAAGGTTGCGATGGATGAGTTGTCCAACCAAGGTGTTTTGGTTGTCTACTCTTTTAGTCCATTAATTGACTCTAAGACTAATGTCAGCTTGACTACGTGGATCAAGAGGAGAGAATTGTGTGGAGCCCAATTGCACTCAAGCTAGGGTTTTGTTGGAGATGTACGGGGGAACCGGGAAAGTCAAGCGAGGTGGTAAAGGAGGGAATGGTCGTATTTGCTCCACAATCAGGTCATAAGTGGCAACGGCGGCACCAAGATTGGCTTGATGGTGGCCCCATCGTGGGTGAAAATCCTGACCTCGGGCGTGGACCGTGAGATGGATTTCAAGCTTTGGCCATGAGCCCTAAGGGAGGTTGTCGGCCTTGGTTGAAGGATCGTGTGTCGAGCTGACCGACAAATCGTGAATCATGTTGACCAGGGAATCGTTGATCAAGTGGACCAAGGACTCGCAAATTGGCCACTAAAACTTGTTTAGATCATTTAAAAGTCTTAATTGAATACCACAAGACTTATTTATCCCAAAATAGTCGTTTAAAATCCAAATTAAATACACCCCTAAACTAATAAAATGAAATATCACCATTGTATGAATTAGTTCAAACCCAACCAGCATCAATTTAGTGACCAACATCAATTCAGTAACCAACCAATTTTGTTCAAATAGATACTTGAATCATGCAGAACAACGCTACAAATTATTAAAACAAAATAAAAACCAAACATTTCCAAACCCCGAGTAAGGAGCTGCAAATGAGTCCCAACATGAATGAGGGGCGCATGATAGTTTATTTTTGCCATCCCAAAACTGAATAACAAGCACAACAACACTCCAAAAAGTAGAACAATAGACACGATGATTAAGGTCTATTAAAGCAAACTGAAATTATTGAATTGTGAGATTAAGTCCACTGTCGACTTACCTTATGTAGCATTCTTTTGGATAGCACCTTCGTGAAACTTGTAAGGCTTCTAATATGTTATCGGTTGTGCAACCTCATTACGTCTAATGTTTGTTATGGGTCGAGTTGACTTCCACCAACACAATATGTTCTCTAAATCCAATGGCTTGTCATTAGTAAAAACCCTCCGATTCGAAAAATCTGAAGTTCAATTACATCACTTTACTGCAGTTAACACATCTACCCCATACAAAGCATGAAATTATTATGTTGTGTGGCTTCTAAATTCATATATGATAGTTTATTTATGTCATCACAAAACTCAACAACACGCACAACAAAGCTCCAAAAAATAGAACAATAGACATTATGATAAAGGCCCAGCAAGGCTCCTAAAAGTTGGTGAGGATAAATCTGGGTTGTGCGAATCTAGGTTATGCGATGGGTTTCTAAGTCTCAACTGGCCCTGGGTTGTGGGATGGCGTTGTAAAAAAGGCAAGGGAGAGAGAGAATGCTTGTGATTTGTGGTTTAGTTATAAAAAATGGACCCCCTATTTGTCACATGACTAAACTAACAGAATACCAAACGATCAACTTAACGGAGGTAAATTGCTAGTCTTCAGTTGTTGACCAAAAAACAAACAAATCTGTCTCGCAACTGGCACGAGTGTAGAGCTATCAAACCGGTGGATGTACAGTTGAAGTCTCTTTACACACAGACAGGGCCCGTGACCAAGTGAAAGTAACGCAACTCTTCAGAATTCAGATTACTAGGGGGCCTCTAGATCCTCTCCCAGTGCCAGCTTGGCAGCTTGGACTGTTCCTATTGCTCCAAATTCTCCATCATCTTGACTGCACACGACCACACCCTACCCCTCCTCTCCTCCCCTCTTCCTTCTTCAACTTCAAGTAGGTGAAAAGCAAACACATTCTCTCATTATTCATTAGCCATAAAAAAATAAATACTGCTGGAGCCACTGCTGTACTCTACTACCTAATCTAATTGATTAAAATTAAAACTTCAAAAAAACAAAAATAAAAAAAGCAAAGCAATTCCAACAAATATAGAGATTTAAAGCTCACCTTTTTTGCTTGCTTTGCTTCCTTCACATTCTTCTTTGATATCCATAACCAGACACCAGTAATTCTGGTTGTTGCTTCTTTTAACTCTCCCACCCATCTCTTCAAATTCAAAACCCTAGAAAACCCATTCTTCTTCTCTCTCTGTCTCTCTGTCTCTCTCTCTCTGTGTGCAGATCGTGCTGCTGAAATCTCAGCTCGCTCGCCGATCTGCTCCGTCTCCGCTGAGTCGGTTAAATGGCCGGCTCCGACGGTTCGCGTCGCTGAAATGTTGGCTGCTGCTGACCGCGATTTCGATGCTCGTCGGCCAAAATGTCGGCCTCTTTAGCTGCTTTTGAGCGCCCAAGACCTGGAGGTTCTAATACGGTACGGTTTCTGCTCCTCTGGTTTGCTTGGTTATTGGGAAAACGAGTTGAACTGGATGCAAAGTTGTGGAATTTTTCTTTTGTTTTGTTTTCTATTGTTAAAAGTTTAATTTAGTTGGCTTCTGTGGGAAGGCACCAAAACTAAAGGGAATGCTACGTTTCTTGATGTTGGTTCCGTTTAAATCCCAGATGGTGTATGTCCGAAATGTTATGAAATTTGTTAACTTTATTGATTTGTTTCCCTTTTTTTGTTCTGATTGCTGAGGGAAGTGTAAAAAGGAAAATGAAAGGTAAAAGAAATTCAAAGCATGGTTCCCCTACCTATCTGTACCAATTTCACTTGTCGAAATGATTGAAGTGATATTAGGCTGAGTTCAATCTACTATGTTCAAGTAATGTTGACACGTATTTGTAATGTTTTTATTTTTGTTATGTGAATGTAACTGCAATGCTGTTTCCTTTATTTGAACAAAACCTCAACTTGCCTAAAATTTCGGGGAATCCATGAAACATTCGATGTTTTATTCATTCTTGATCATTTGAATGTGTTCTTAACTGCCAGTTCATCATAATCACAGTTTCTTAATTATCAATGTGACCTGATAATATTTGGGATGTTCCGTTCCATTCCTTTGGTGCTTAATTTTTGAACTAGTTTCACATAGTGCTTGGTGGGTCGTGATTATGCATGAGTTCTAACACATGAGATGATCTACCAGGTCTTCAAGAGTGGCCCACTTTTCATATCTTCGAAAGGTTGGTAAACGTTTCACTTTCTCCATTACTATTTTCTCCTTAAGGCAGTTTTCGTTGGGTTTCCCAAACTTGTTTATTTATTTAGTGACAGTAACTTGGCATTTGTGCGATTATGGTAGTCTTAGACGAGCAATTTAGTTTACTTGGAACTGGAAAATTTGCCTTCAGAATGCTATCTTCACAGTGCTCAAGCTTGGCTTCTTTATACTTTATTGAGCTTGAACTTGGTTTTGGCTAAAAAGAAGGTCAAGCTTGATAGGAGCTCAAGCTGTATTGAGCCAATTTATAGGAATGTGTTGGTCTCTTTCCATAACAATATCTTCATAAGGCAGTTTTGGTTGGGTTTCCCAAACTTATTTATTTATTTAGTGACAGTTACCAGGTGTTTGACTAATTTCCCCAGCGAAGCAGCAGGTAGGCACGAGTGTTGCTTGCGTGCATTGCCTAGTTGCCCTTCCTTTGAGTTTGAGTGACATTTGCTTCCAGCTACTATATCGTGTGTGGTTTGACTTGTGTTGTTTGGCTTGCCAGAGCGATGACTTATGAGGAGAGCAGGAAGAGTGTTTTGAGCTCTATTTGATTTTGATTGTGTCCCCCACCGCCCTTAACGTTTCAACCTGAATCTAATGTTACGCCTGGCTCCCAATCTTGTTCGAAGAACCTCATCTAGAACCCCTGCACCCTCATCCTCCTCTCTCAATTTCTCAGTATGTTTGTTGCTTCAAAACACTTTCCCTCAATGCCAACAAGGAGACCACCCTTTCCAGAAACGTTATTTTTCTTCGGGGTCGAAGGCGTCGAGCCCTAGCCTCTCCATATGGAGGCGCAGGAAAGAGATGGGGAAGGAGGGTCTTATCGCGGCTAAGGAGCTCAAGAGGCTCCGCTCCCATCCTCTCCGCCTCGACCAGTTCATACGCTCAAACGTGTCCCGCTTGCTCAAGTCCGATCTTGTAGCTGTTCTCGCCGAGTTCCAGAGACAAGACCAGGTCTTTCTCTCCATGAAGGTTTGTTTTCTTTTTTATTTTTTCTTCTAAATTTCCTATATGATTAATAGAGGATGGAAATGTTAAATTAACCAGTTGTTAGTTTTCTGTTGTTTGGAGAAGGATGTGAGGATTTCTTTCATAGTTTCATTGTGTGTTTGTGATTAATCAAGTCTACTATCTATTATCTCGGGTGAGTGGAGATATTCTTCTTGGAATCCAGTGTTTTTGATAAATTTGAATGATTGGGAATCTAGCTAGTTGATACCTTTTTCATTCTTGTGGTTGATCCTGTTCTGTGCAAGGGGGACAATATGGTTGATGGGTCATTGCGATCTTATTATGATGATTTGTTAGGTTTTAGGAATGCTTTCTTTCCTTTGAAAGAGATTTGGAAGACTTGGTTTACCTGTGAAAGTGGTAATAGTTTTATGGTTAGCTGCTCAGAGTAAAATATTTTTATTTCATTATTCTTTCAAATTTAGTCAATTGGAGTTCATTTAATATCATCTTCCTTGAGTTTCTCTATTAAATAAAATAAAAATAAATAAATCTTCTTTGACTTAAGTGACCCGAGTTTCTGTCTTATTACTACAATCTAGCTGCTATATTGAAGTCTTTTTTAGTTGTTACTTTCCGCTCAGTATCTCAGGAAGAAAGTTTCTGTTCTTATTTTTAGACGAGAAGTAAAGTCCTTAAGGTCTTTTTTTAGATTGGTTTCGACTCTACTATTATGTGAGTGTATCTTCTTCCATCCTTTTAAGGTGTTCCCCTTCCTAAAATTGTTTTTCTTTTTATCCCAAATTTGGAGTCACAATTTTCGTCTTTGTGAACTTTGGCACCATAAAAGCATATTAGTTAAATTGGATGTGTGAATCTGGAGCCATCATTTCATGTCAAGTGCACTTCTAATCGTGTAAATGTGACCTGGATGTTTGTGATCAATACTTTGTTGTTATAATTTCCATTTGAATGCTGATAAAGACACATAAATCTTAGAAAACAGAGGAAAGAATGGAAGAAGAAAGCAGTAAAAGTTGATGAAGAAGGAAAGGTTCTAGTCTGTAGAGGGATATCTTTATACCTGAAACCTGAAATAGAAACCTTAGAAATGGTTGAACCACCTTCATTGCCAGACTTTCTATGACCTTTATAGTCACCGTACTTTTCGTTTTTGTTGTTTTAAAAAAATTATTTCTTGTTGCCATTAGTTTGTTTTTACAAGAAAATTAAGAAAATGGTAAATATTCTAAAGGTAGGAACTTACAGTCGGTTGTGACATGGGGCAAGATCTTTAAATCACATCGTTATTGTAAATTATTCAGCAATTAAACTCTTTTTGGGTGTGGTGGGTCATCATTGGGAACCTATCATGAGATTTGTGGGCACTATCTAATAGTAAGAAGTATGAAAAGATAAATTATTTGTATATATGTTTGAACCACAGTTGGTCATATTTCTCTTTATTGAGATATCAAAGAAGCTATCCAAGGGTTTTGCCGAGCCTACTAATATGGATGGGTCACAGGGATTGAGGACATCCCATGGCCACCCGCACCTTGCCACTTGTAGCATCCCTTAGCTTTAATCCAATATTGGACCTTGGACATATAATAGTTCTGAGTACGATCTCTTTAGATTAAAATTTCATTGAATGAGCTTGGTTGCTTTTACTAACACATTATGTTTTTCAGATATATGATGTGGTCCGTAAAGAAATTTGGTATCGACCAGACATGTTCTTTTACAGGGACATGCTTATGATGCTTGGAAGAAACAAAAAGGTAGATGAAGCAAAGCAGGTTTGGGGAGATCTGAAGAGAGAGGAAGTTCTGTTTGATCAGCATACTTTTGGGGATATTATCAGGGCTTTTCTAGATAATGGATTGCCCTCGGAGGCAATGGAGATATATGATGAAATGAGACAATCTCCTGATCCCCCAATCTCACTGCCTTTTAGAGTAATATTGAAGGGGCTTCTTCCATACCCAGAATTGAGGGAGAAGGTGAAAGATGACTTCTTGGAGCTATTTCCTGATATGATCATCTATGACCCACCCGAAGACTTATTTGAAGATCAAGAATGTAAAAGAGAAAATGAAGATGATTAGATAGTGCTGCTATACTTGTACATGCTCTATATGAGAGAATCCTTTCATTTGCAGAAGCTAAATCCATTGGCATGGCTAGATGCACCCTCAGTTGCCTGTCAAGCACGAAACCAGGAGTTAAGTGGGTCTTTTGCAGCAGCGGTTCATTGTGTAGCAACAAATGGCCCTAGTTCTGGTTCGAAGAATTTGGTGGTGCATGTTTGGGATGTCATATAAAAAAACAGTCGGGCAGAATTAGATATGCGATCCTAGTTTTTTGTTTTCTTTTTGTGGCTTTTGGGTCCATATAGTTTATGTTTTCCTTTTCAAATCACTACAATTTTAGTAAATTAGTTTTCGACTGACCTTGATCACAGTTGAGAGCGTAGTTTTGGACTAACTTATTAATAAGGACATATCATACTGTGAATTTAGCAACGGGGACATCATGTTGGTCATGTTGGATTACTCGCTTTGAGATTTTGAGCTTCTGACGATCTGAAGAATTAATGGTTTCGAAGTTTTGCTTATCGGTTTACATGATTGGAAAAGCCAAGTGACTCAACCTGATTTGTACCAACTTCCAAACAAGAAACAAATTTTTGCTTAGCGGTTTACATGTCTGCATTCTCTGTTGACTCTAAATTTAATTTTTTGGTTTTTCAACTACTTTAAATTTAATAATTTCTTAATTGGTGCTGCAGTAAAACTTTTCCTACTGGCAAAATCTGGAAGGTCATTCGGCAAGAAAAAAATAAAATAAAATCTGGAAACTCGTTGCTTCCTAGGATTCCTTTTTAAGACTTGGGGGTTAAGATAAATACTTCGTGAAGAAAGGCAAACTGACAAAGCCAGGGGGACACACTCTGAACCGAGTTACTGAGGATGAATTACTTTCAGAACATAAACAATGAGAGAGAGAGAGAGAGTCAGGTGCTTGCTGCTCAACTTGGGCTTCCATATTTATTGATCTTAAGCAATTTGGGGGCCACAGAGACTGGTGCGATTGGACCGCTATTTCTAGCTTCTAGTTTAACAGGTATTTTTATACAAATCTATAAATAAACCCAATCCTAAACATGTATTTATAAAAAAACCCAAACACTATTTAAACATAGAAACACATCCAAAATCAACCCAAAAATCAACAATTGTATATTTTTTGGGTGTGTTTATAAATGGGTTTTGAGTGTGTGTAATGATAGGTTTTGGGTGTGTTTATAAAGTGTTTTGGGGTGTTGGGTTTTTTTATAATTTCAGCCCCTATTTTGGGTGTTATAGTGAAACTCCCTATTTTTTACTCTATGCAAGTTATTTTTGTACCACCATTTCTCCATCATATTGCTTTTTTTGTTTTTTGTTTTTGTGAATTATAGTATTATTGATGAAGTTTACTACAATTACTACTTTTAAATTTTATTTTTTATACAATTGATATTCTACTTTAATTTACGGGAAGGAGGATTTGAACTTGGGTGCAAAGTGGAGAACACATCCACTCTAGCCAACTTGGCTAAGCTCATATCTTCCAAAGAGTAACCACAACCATGCATCAAACTTATTATACCAAAACAAAAACTAAAACCCAACAACAGCCAACCCAAGCCCATGACAATGGCTTGAAAGAAGATAGACTTGAAAAGATGAACCATAAAGCCCTAGCCGTCGGTGTCGTTGATGCCGCCACTACTGCCGCTATCACAATCAACCAAGTACCTACAACAAAAAACACACAAAAAACAACCTAAAAAACCCAAGATCCAAACAAATTTGGCCAGAAAAGCCAGCCTTTTGGCTTAAGTTTAGGTCTTCACTATCCACGTCTTCATGATCCGACCTATTTTAGCCCTCATGTCAAGGGTTATTTTTGCAAAAGATTTAGTAAATAAAAGACAAATTGATGAATAAAGGGCATGTTTACTTTTTAGGAATAAGAAAACTCATAAATCGGGAAATCTACAAATAGGGAAATTAAGAATTGGAATTGGATCTACTACTTCCTAGTTGACCTGATTCCTAATTTTGAGGGTAATGGATTACAAATTTTTAACATGGAACAAAGATAGTTTTTTTTATTCGTTATGTGTTAATAAATACAGTGGAAGTCAGGACTTGAACTAATTTTAATAATGTGATACTAAAGTACACAAGATAAGGAGGAATTAGAATAACTCCAATACTCAAACATGCTAAGAGAATATACATTAAACAATTGAGCAATTACAAAGAATAATTAAATAGTTGCCCCTCAAGTAAGAAAGAGGGAAAAATGTGGTAACTTGCTTCTTTGTTGACCTTGGTTTCCAATTGTCACTTGTAAAGAATACTTTACATTGCTTGGAATTATTATTTTTTTTTAGAAAACTTTTTTAATATCAACCTTAGTTTTTAGAAAATTTCTCGAGTTTGATGTATATTTAATGTGGTTATGCTCATTTTTTTAAATATAAATAATATTCTACTTTTATCTAATCTAAAAAACAAGGAGGGGGATTCGAACTCGAGTATAGAGTGGGGAGGACATCCGCTCTAACCAATATGACTACGCCCATGTATGCATGCTCATTTAAAGAATTTCTTTAATTAATAGATCTTTCTCGTATTCATTACTTCTGTCTATTTAAAATTATAATGCTGAAGATTATACAAATTTTTCAATAAAGGTTCTACTAGTTATATTCTCGATGCAATTCTATTTTATTAGCACGGTGTATTTGGTTAATGTATGGTTTGTTTATGCTTCATACTTTGTATATAGGTGTCTTTGCAATTCCTTTGATACAAAAATCAGAGCTCTTTATGGTTATAATAGAAACACTTGAGAAAAGAAAAGCCAGCCTCTTCCTAGTAAGCCTAGAATAAATGATAAAGATGGACAACTTCACAATGTCAATGAGGCTTTGGATGCATATCGAGAGACATTTACTAAGCTCTTGCAAGAACATGATATTAAATCCAACAAACAACCTGATATTGAAGCAACAATGCATCTTAGAAAGAAAGGAACATGGGTTAAGACGAGTAAACAATTAGAACCAATTTCAAGAGTTAAGGTTGGTGATGAGTTTCGTAACAGTGATGAACTAAATATTGCTGGCCTTCATCATTTCAACATGGTATTGATTTTATGAAGAAGGATGGGAAAATTTTGGCCACATGGATTGTTAATTCTGGCCGTTATGCAACTATGTAGAATCTCATGATAGCTTGATTTATTCAGGTGAAGGTGGAAATCCTAGGGTTTGTAGGAAAAAGCCAAAGGATCAAAAACTTGAACGCAGAAACCTTGCACTAAAGAATAGCATGGTAGTAGAAATTCATGTAAGAGTAATTCATGGCATTAAACATTTTTAGACAGATACACGTGCTAAGAAAAGTTCTTTCACAACTTATGCTTACGATGGTCTCTACAAAGTAGAGCATTTTTGGCAAGAAAGAGAGGACTTTGGCACACTTATGTTTAAATTTTTGTTGACAAGGATACTGGGGCAACCAATAATCACATGGGGAAAAGTTTTAGGGAAGTCGAAATAGCCTATGGTTTCAAAGGATATTGTTTGTAAAAATGACTTCTCCAAAGGGAAAGAGAAGATGCCTATTCGTGTCGTCAATGTCGTAGATAAGGAGAGCCCTCCATCTTTCAATTACATATGCAATTGTTGTGCAAAAAACACTCCAAGACCTTGTAGTTGATGAACTACGCAACTATCACACACAAGCTATGCAAAGATAAAGCACACACAAACTGAAAAGTAAACAAGCACACAAAGAACACAAGAATTTATAGAGATTCAACATTGTGCCTACATCCTTTTGGTTATCCCCAAGAAATTCAATAGTATGAAAGAACCCCTTTAGTTAAAATGAAGAACCCCCTTTGCTCTCTCACAAATCGCTCTTTTCTCTCACCCTTGGCTCAAACCCAATTTGATGCCTTAGCTTTCTCACATTATCATAACCTAGCGCTAAAGTGCCTATTTATATGTCATAGGGCTTTAGTAAAATTATACAAGGAATAGGAAACTTCAAACACCCCAAAATTAGAAGAGAATCTGTCCAGATTAGCCACAGATATGCTCCTCCCGCTCAAGCACCACTCGCACCGCTAGAGTCTGAGTTATGCCGCTCGAGCTCCTGGGTCTGGGCAAGAAGTACTGCTCTACTGCTCGAGCACTTGTAGTTTCTACTGAAGTAGCAGAGCCCAATCAAAATGATTGAAAATCATTTGAACGTCTTTTTCCTTCACACCTTCCACATCTTTAGGTGAGCCAACATCAACAATCTCCACCTTGGCGAGCCTAAATACCTTGTGAAAATCATTGACCTCTAGAACCTCTTCAAACCTTTGGGAAATCGTCCTAGTAACTCCCAAGAGCTCCACCACACTCTTTAGCATGTAACAAGATTGAGCAAGCTCAAACAATGTCTGAACTTCTTAGTTATGACTGGCTTGATCAAGCAATCTGAAGCGGTCTCATTCGTATGAACCTTCTTTATTGCAATGTCCCCATTGTTCACCCAATCCTTTATCTAGTGGTCCTGTACATTAATATGCTTAGGCCATCACCACCAAGTCTTGAGCTATCCCGAACTCTTTAGCCATCTTGTCAGTCATAACGCTTCCTTAGAAGCCTCCGTTAGTGCCATATACTTCACTTTGGTAGTAGACCATTGTGTACTTGAAACTACATTCACAGCTTAAGCTAAGTCAAGGCATGTGCAAACCATTGTGTACATGAGACACCCTACCGTGCTTACATACATAACCTTACTCATTTCATCATTCTCTTTGTCACTAAAAGGACTTTCATGGGCACTTATTCTAAAGTGCTTTGTCGAAGAAGTAGACACAGGCTTATAATCGAACATGTTGAATCTCTTAAGTACCTTAGATATGTACTTTCCTTATCTCCATTCCTAGGATCTATTGTGCGGGACCAAGATCCTTCATGTCAAACTCCTTCCCAAGTAGAATCTTCAACTCTTAGACCTTTGACATATCTTGACACTCGATTAGCATATCATCCACATAAAGTAGCAATAGGATGATCTTTCTATCCTTGAACACATGAGAGTACACACAACAATCCGATTCGTATCTTCTATACCCAATCCGTAGCATATAGGTGTCAAAGCGCTTGTACCATTGTCTTAGAGATTGCTTGAGCCCATACAGAGAATTCTTCAACCTGCATACTAGATTTCATTTACTTTTTCAACGAACCCTTGAGGTTGACTCATGTAGATGTCTTCCTCTAAGTCTCCACGGAGGAATGCCGTCTTCACATCCATTTGCTCTACCTCTGTGTCCCATTATGCCACTATGGAGAGCAATAACCATATAGAAGTATGCTTCACCACCGGAGAGAAGATCTCATCATAATCAACTCATTCTTTTTGCAAGCACCCCTTGGCCACTAGACAAGCTTTGAATCTAGTTGACTCTTTCTCATGTATCCCTTCCTTCTACCTAAACACCCACTTGCAGCCGATCACCTTCTGATCTTTGGGTTTAGGAACCAACTCCCAAATGGAATTCTGGTGTAGAGATTCCATCTCATCCATCATAGCACCCTCCACCTTTCCCACTCCGAACTCTCAACTACTTCCTAGAATGTGGTTGGATCCCCTTCATTCATGTTTAGAGTATAGTGAATTGCGTCCATCTCCCATCCAAACCGTTGAGGAGGTTTGATGGTTCTCTTGGGCCTGGACCTAGCTATAGATGGCGACTCTACCTGATCTTGAGCCTCTTCTTCATCTTGCGTTTGTTGTTATTTCCCAAATTCCCCCCACCTCAGTATCGGACTCCACCACCCCATGAACGTTTTCAATTGGTTGCATACTTGGAGTATCCCTGAACACCCTACTTGGTGAAATTGTAACGATTGTCTTTGTTCCAACAACATCCTCTTTTGCCTCTGGTTTCTTAACTTTGATCATAGGCACGGGCTTCTCATCAAACACAACATCTCTACTGAGTATTTTCTTTTGGTTCACTAGATCCCATAACTGGAAACCTTTCACGCCGCTCTCAAAGTTGAGGAATATGCACATAAGAGACTTGGTTTTAACTTGGTTCTCTTATCACTAGGTATGAGAGCATAGACACTGTATTCAAATACTTTATGATTAGTATACTAAATAGATTTATTAGACCATACCTCTTCCGCACACTTGAAATCAAGATACTTCGATGACGATCGGTTAACCAAAGAGGAAGCATGGTTAACCGCTTCCGCCCAAAACACCTCGGGCAAGCCGGCATGAATCCTCATACACCTCTCACACTCCATGAAAGTTCTATTCAACCTCTTCGCGGCTCCATTTTCTTAGGGCATCTTCTTCATGGTAAAATGCCTCTTGACACCCTCGCTCTTGAAAAACTCCAAAAAATTGCTATCTTTATATTCTCATCCATTGTCACTTAGGATCTTGATCTTCCTTCACATAAGGTTCTCTTCTTTCGCTTTCCACTCCTTGAATTGAGGAAGACCTCATATTTCTCTTTCATGGAATAGACCCAACCTTCCTAGAAAAATCATCCAAGAATGTGACATAGTAGCGAGCTCCTCCCAATGATTTAACCAGTGTAGGCCCCCATACATCCGAGTGAATATAATCAAGCACTCTCGTGCTCCTATTCTCCTTGTCTTGTTGCTTAAATGTCACATTCGACTGCTTCCCCATGGTACAATATTTGCAAAACTCAAGTTTACAACTATGCACTCTCTTTAGAAGCTTCTGTTTGTGCAACTCTTGCATTGCCTGCTCACTCATATGCCTTAGCCTCAAATGCCAAAGCTGAGTATCATCCACTGAGCCCACAGGCAGTTAGGTTGAATCTCTCCCTTCATATGAGCACTCGGAATCCAAAATCCAATTAGAAGATGAAACCCTTGAAGAGATAGCAAGTGCATTACTATTAACAATGTTATCAGTAAATAAAGCTCATCATCGATATCCTTTGCGACTCTGGCTTCTTCCCTTTGTTTCTCTTTTATCTCCATGTATGACAATTTTTCTTCCAATGATCCTTTGACCCACATTCAAAACAACTATCTTTCGCCTTAGATTTTGATATTCCCCGATTACTTTTCTTGCCTTCGCGCTTGCCCGATCAACCTTTCTCTTCGGACTTTGCTACAAGACCTTCATCTTGAGAGACACCTCCAGAATGTTGAACCATTCTGTCATGCGTCAGGATGTCTTACATGATCTCTTCATACTTCAAGGTTCCCTTCCCGAACATAAGCATTATGCCGAAGTGTTTATAGGATGGTGGCAGGGACGTCAATAACATCACAACCTTGTCTTCTGACCTATAGACCTCATCCATCCTCTACAAGTTAACAATACACCTATTAAAGGCGCTCTCGTGCTCCATCATGCTTGTCCCCTCCTCCATCTTTAGATAGTGAAGCTCCTCCTTCAAGAAGAGCTTGTTGGATAATGATTTGACTACTGCAAACATCTCTTGGAGTTTCTTTCATGTTTGCTTCGCGATGTCTTTCATCGCATTACACAACACCTCGTCGGTAAGATGTTGTTCAATGGATCCTCTAGCAAGCTCGTTTAGATCCTCCCAATCTGCATGGTTATCGGCTTCCTTTCCTTGCCTGCCAAGACTTTACTGAGACCCTGTTGCTTAATGATATGCTTCATCCTTCTTTGCTAAAGCATGAAGTTCTCCTTATTGGTGAATGACTTCAACTCCACCTTCGTACTCGACACATTTGGTGATTTTGTACTAGAGCTTTCTCCCTCATTGTTGCCTGCCATCGTCAACACACCGCCGCTCTTAAAGTTGTAAGAGCACTTGAGCATAAACTAATACCTGCCGCAACTTGGTTATGATACCACTTGTTGTGCGAAAATACTCCAAGACCTTATCATTGATGGACTACACAACTATCACACACAAGCCGTGCAATGATAAAGCACACACAAACAGAAAAGTAAACAAGCACACAAGGAACACAAGAATTTATTGACGTTCAACGTTGTGCCTACATCCTCTTGGTGATCCCTAAGAAATTCACTAGTATGAAAGAACCCCTTTATTTACAATGAAGAACCCTCTTTTCTCTCTCACAAACCCTAGCTCTTTTTTCTGTTACCCTTGACTCAACCCAATTTGATGCCTTAGCTTTCTCACGTTATCGTAACCTAGCGCTAAAGTGCCTATTTATATATCATAGGGCTTTAGTACAATTATACAAAGAATATGAAACTTAAAATACCCTAAAACTAGTAGAAAATCTATCCAGATTAGCAAGGAATATGATTGGATTGAACCCCCCGTTCAAGAGTCATTCAGGTTGCTCGAGAGTCTGTGTTCGCAGAGCCCAATCAAAACAACTACAGCTCTTTTGACCGTATGTTTCCTTCACTCCTTCCACATCTTTAGGCGAGCCAACATCAACAGTATCTACCTTGGCGAGCCTAATACCTTGTAAAAATCATTGACCTCTAGAACCTCTTCAAACCTCTTGGAAATCGTCCTAGTAACTCCAAAGAGCTCCACCTCAATGTTTAGCATGTAACAAGATTGAGCAAGCTCAAATAATGTCTAAACTTCTCAGTTGTGATTGGCTTGGTCAAGCAATCCGAAGCTTTCTCATCCACATGAACCTTCTCTATTGCAATGTCCCCATCGTTCACCCAATCCCTTATCCGGTGGTACTGTACATCAATATGCTTAGACCTTTCGTGAAACACTTGATTCTTGACTAAGCATATAGCACTTTGACTGTCACTTTGTATCACCACCAAGTCTTGAGCTATCTCGAACTCTTTAGTTAATCTTGTCAGCCGTAACGCTTCCTTAGAAGCCTAGTTAGCGCCATATACTTCGCTTCGGTAGTAGACAAGGCAGTAACTGATTGTAGCATGCTCTCCAACTAATCGGTCCTCCACCACAAGTGAAAACATACCTCATGGTGGATCTCCTCTTGTCTATGTCTATTGCATAATCCGAATCCACATAACGTGACACACATGCCTCTCTTTGTTGTCTTTCAAACAAAATCCCAAGCTTCTTGGTGCCCTTCAAATATCGAAAAATCCATTTCACCGTATTCCAATGTTGTTTGCCTAGATTTGCCATGTATCTTGAAACTACACTCATAGTTTGAGCTAAGTCGGGGTGTGTGCAAACCATTGGCGAACTTGAGACACCTTACCACCTTGCATACAGTTAACTTACAATACGGTTAACTTAGCGTACAGGAGACAACCTACCGCACCTGCATAAGGCTAAACCGTTGCGTACCATGAAGAAGAACATACCAATGAGTATTAACTTATGATTACAATATTTCTTCTGAAGCATCAAGTTATCTTCAAGATTCATGAGAAAAAGATTTATACTCCATTTGTATAATGTAATTTTTTTGTTTGTTTAGAAAGTGAGAATTTCAAAAGGTGCTTGTAGCTCAAGTAGTTAAGAACATTTACTTGAGCTTGTATAAAAAAAGGGCTTGTTCAATATAGGTCCCTGAAAATTCTATTTCCGAGACATATACCCATCACTTTATCATCTATTAGTAAAACCAAATTTCAAACTTAAATGACACGTAAGATATAAAAGGTCATAATTTTTCTATGTTTTTACATGGTTGCCACAAGACTTCAAAAACACAAACCGACCGTTTCCATCAGCAAAATATCACTCAGTCCGACCGTTACATTCTCTTCAAAACAGTTTACCTCCATTTCAGCCTTGCTTCATGCCCATTATTGAAAGCCAGAGATTCTCTAAGGTTTGATTCCCTCCATGTCTCTACCATTTAAAATTAGGGTTCGTAGGTACATTCAATTTTTCAGACTAGTCGCAAAGAGAAGACGACACTAATTGTGACAAAAGATTCCGATGCCGATGACTTTATTCCTGGTAGGTTTCTAACAATGTCTTCGCTTCCTCTTACTCCAATTTCAATTTCAAAGCAACCCATAAATTTGATTGCTTTTGTAACGAAGGCTGTGGCCAACTGGTCATGGATTAAAGATTTGATTTATTGGGTTCGTTTGGTTTTAAGGGGCTTCGATTGTTTGGATTCTGAGGTTGATTGTCTTTGTTGATATATAGGACATCGAGAAACCTTTGATGAGAATATATGATTTATGATAGTCTTTGATAATATCGGTTCGTAGGTACATTCAAATTTATAGCTTTTCAATCATGTTTTATTGTCTCTGTTCTTACGAAACCTAAGCTCAATTTACTATAGAATAGGTCATTTATGTTTTATTGTCTCTATACCTATCAGCTTTTCATCTATCCCAAATTTTGCATTTTCATCTGCCACAACTCTTGCCTTCTTATCAGTACCATTCATTACCTAGATTGGTATAAATTTGTGTAGCAATTAGTTTCAATTTTTTTTTTCTAGTTATGTTTCTATTTTCACATTGCTAATGTTGTTTTCTATATTGCATAGTCGGTTGTTTTTCTAGCCAAAAGTTGGGTCTGTTTAGTTGCACACACCACGTGTTTGATGAAATCCCATATGAGCTATGAGAGCACAAGTGAAGTGTGATGTTGTTATTCTATGCGTAGATGAGATGTAAGTAGATAAGGTCCTTGAAGATTCTACAAATGGGTACTGATGAGTACATTATGGGGTCATATTTGAGTGGCATGTGCAATTCAGGGTAGGTAAATTGTGTGCTGTTGGCTTCCTATGTTGTTTGGTATCATTTTAGGGTAGGTAAATTACGTACATATTAGGAGTTTGATTTATTGCATAGGTAAATTATATGTTTTGTTTATGTGCTGTTGGGTTGGAGCCTAGCTAGGCTCCCATTTCTAGTCATACTGAATGGTCATCATTTACGAGAAGTGATTATAGCGGTCACTCCAATTACAATATAGAAAGATTTAGGCACTCTTCTTCTTTTCCATTATTTTGCTTTCTGTCATGTTATTGTCAAGAGCAAGCTTTATCATTTTTTGATTTGGAAATAATATATTGAACCTTTTGTTTTGTCCCAGCTTCTTTTGATACTATGAACTTGTACATAATGCTTACAAACTGCCACATATGTCAATTTCAAAAAAGAAAAGAAAAAAATCTTGGGAGATTAGACTAAGAAAATGAAGGCCAGTATGAAGGAAACTGTTTGTTGCAGCCGTTGTGTTGCCTCTGCACAACATCAGAAGGTCTTTGTTGTTGAACTGCGTCTGCCTATTCTCCATCTCCCAACCTATAGCCTATGTACTAGACTCTATAATATTATTATTAATTGGGCTTGTTCAATATAGGTCCCTAAAAATTCTATTTCCTAGACATATACCCATCACTTATAAATCTATTAGTAAGACCCAATTTTTAGGGTAGGTAAATTACTTGCGTATTTAGGAGTTGGATTTCTTGGGTAGGTAAATTACGTGCTTTGTTTATGTGCTGTTGGGTATTATTCTTTTCTAAGTGTTCTTACTCCTAATGGAGTTACTCATGTTGTTTCTTTTTTTTCATGCATAGTAATTTGATTTTTATGCATATTAGAGCAATTTTTTTACTTGCTGTGCATATTTAGAAGTTTGTTTGTTTGTTTGTTTGTTTTTTTTTGTACACTAAATTAGGAAGAGCAGACTACAAACCTGTCAACAATTAGGAATTTGAGATTAGGTAAAAATGTTTTAGAAAACCATTCATTTTCAGTTTTTGCTATAATTTTTTGGACTGTTCACGATTGTTGTTGAATTGTAGAGAATTCTGATATGAACTATGTTTTTGGCACATATGGGTATGACAATAGGTGTTTTGTTTTGTAGGCAAAATGGATTTGAACATAAGAGAGTTTGGGAAAATGCATACATATATGGTTTTGGGCCTTTTTTTTTATAATGTTTTTAATGGTTTGAGATTAAGTATTCAAAAAGAGCGCCGTGAGATTATGAGGGAGACACCTTTTTGGGGTCTTTTTAGAGCTTTTGATGAAGCTTGGTCAACGAAAACACATGCAAGAAATCATATATAGATATAATCATAATCATTCAGTGTTTCGACGCTACAATTAGAGACTTCACACTTTGCGGTAGGCATGAAAAATTCACTGGTTTTGATGTTGAGGAACTACTTGGTTTACCTAATGTTGGTTGTGAGATAATAGTAATAAACGAAGTTTGAAAGATAATGCATATTTTGTTCAAAGGAACTTTGAAATCACTGAACGAGTTAGTAGGCAAAATATCGAATCTGCAATGTGCAAGTTAGTTACATGCAATACCCAACAAGAATGTGAAGATTTTGTATGCCTTGTGTGCCTGCATTTCTTTATTACATTGTTGTTCTACAATACTGGCAACATTTTTTCTTGGAGCATAGTTTCACGTTGCCAAGATATACACACAATGCCAAAATATAATTGGGTCAATGCGACCTCGGACTTTTTGGAAAGACAATTGTGAAGGACTGCAAAAACCCAACATCTGTCTCTGGATGTGTTGTTGCTTTACTGGTACGTATATTTAATTGATTTGGTTGTTTATAATTTGTTATTCGTTTACATCAACCCACAGTTTGCAATAATTGAATAACATAGTTTTGGTTTTGCGAGAAAATGCATTTGATTGAGCCATTAAGGGATAGAGTGGATGTACCTACCAAGTTTGTTAAGTGGGATACACAACACTTGCATACAACAATGACCAACTTAGATGTTTTTTCGTGTGACACCAGTGTATGCAAATATATTAATTTGTAAAAATGAGGTATTTTCCTATTGTTTTTTGTTTTCAATAATGAGGAATTTTTGCACATATGTTTCATTAATAAATTTTTATCAGGTGTTCGAAGATTTGTGTAAGACACCGGATGTTGGAAATATGAGTTACAAATTTGGTAGTGCTGCACTTAAGCATGGAACTGAGACTAACGCTTCAGATTTAAGGTCGTCATCTGTGATCACTAGTGTTGCCTCTGGAAAGGTAGCGAATGTATGTGTGCTGATATGATTGAGTCAATTGCCTTTTGAATTCTCATATGTTTTATATGTCAAGATTTACGTTTCTATTTTTTGTTTTAAATTTAGAACATTGTTGTTGAATTGGACCCTCCTAACATGTTCCAACTCATCCCCACACAAGACACTGGTTTTCATGGAGTTGTGAACGACTATGGTCATGATGATTCCCCCAAAACACCTACAAAATCTAATTTTGATATAGAGGGAAGGCTAAAGGAGTGTTTATTACTTTTAGAGAACGAGCGTTCAAATAATAGGTTGGTGAACAACGATATATTGACTTGGAAAACTTGGGTAGTGAAAATAAGGTAATGAAGGAAGAAATATCAAAATTGAACATGAAACTCGAGGAAGCACAGGTGCAAGCTGTTATGTGCAATGAATTGTGCTGTAATGCTGAATTCATTGTGGCAGATGAGCACAAGCAGTATGATGAGTTGTCAAACGACCTCTAACAACTTGAATTTATTCAAAAAGAGAAAAGGGTAAAGAGTAAGGAATCTACAACTGATTTGAAAACATGGGTTATAAGGCTTAAACAAAAACATAGGAAACCGAAACGCATGCCTAGGTATGTGTACAATGAGATCAAGATATTAAGGGAACCAAGGAAGGCAAAGGTAGATGGCCATGGACATGTTGTTGTGAGTACTGATAGGAACATCCTTTGCAAAGAAGCAGCGAATGTATCTATATTGATCGTGCGTATTGATGAAACAAAGGGAAACAACAATTAGGTACAACAGTTGTTGGTCATAATGATGTTGGAGGGAAAAGACAGGTATCTGCAACCATTGACCCTTCTTGCATGTCTGTGTGGATTTATCTATCAAACAAAGAACAAGACATACTACATCATTTTCTTATTTGCACTGATTCCGGGTGAGTCAGAGCATTGTGTTTAAATTATGCATATATATCAGGATTTTAAGTCACATATATGAGTATATTAATGCGAATGTGTAATTGTAAAGCAGGGTTCCATTGTGGCAAGGATTGTACTTGGTTGTGTATAAGGATGATTTGAAGGACCTACTTACAAAAGATGCAGTAACGTATAACGTAAGTTGTCAATTATGGGTTTAAGTTTTTTTAAAGAGAAGGTTATAATGGTTACTCATTGTAGGTTACTGATTCATTTGCGAAGATTTTACAAACTGAGAGAAGCAATGATCCAGCAGTGAGGACTAAATCGCATATGATGACAACGTTTTGGTGGGTATGTTTACAAAGATGAATCCCATGTTATCAAATCAATTTCCCAAATGTGTTAAGGATAACTATGAATGAAGTATATACTATTATTAGTTGTAGGTAACTGTTTGATACATTAATAGTAGTAAATTACACCATGTAGGTAAATTACTGCATCTGATATCATCTAGTTGAAATCAGTTTTAGTTGTACGTAATTACCTACTTGTAGGTAAATTATAGAGTGATAGGTATTGTCACATATACCTATATTAATATTACCTACCTGTACATATATATTAATATTAATCAACCTTAGCCACGTGTATTCCATATCAGAAACGAAGTATATATACAATTGTTTCATAGGCCTGAAGATTATGAGATGGTAGTTAAAAATTTCATATAGATGGAAAGCCTCATTTGAGTTTTAAATGTGGCCAATGATATGTTGGATCATTGTGGAATGTAGATGCTAATAATGATTACAATTTTTTCATGATTAATGTACAGGGCGATGGAGTTAATTATGTACCTCTTAATGCATTTTGGGTTTGTGCTTATTAGTACACTCTTCACAATTTTGTTTGATACATTAGGAGTTTTTGCAAAAGGGTGATGATAAAAACATCAGACTATTCTTGCTTGACCCATTGTTAGAAGCATTAGTTGGGGTGGACTACATTTTTTTTCCCAATGAGACACGCAAGTCAGTACCATTTCACATGTTAGTGTTACACAAGGAATAAGAACAATGGTTTCACTACAACCCAAGACATTCAGTTACAAAATCATCAATTGACCCTTGTTTTGCTAATGCACAAACGTTGGTTTGTAACATTCCATGACCAAGAATCTTCAATATTTGTTACTTTGATTTTAGTTTTAGTTGAACTAATTACTTGGTATGACTTTTTGTAGCGTGATGCTGTTACAACATTTCTTCAATTTAATAGTTGCATTGCATCAAATGTATTAAACAATGGTCATCAAATAAGACTGTCTGCAAAGGATGGAGGGAAGGCAATCCAATCGCCATTAACGCATGGTGAGAAAAAAACACTACAATGGCTAAAGTCTACTTATTCTAATTATCCTTTATGGCCATCAACTACCTGCCCACGAAAATTGGATGAATCTTAAGTATTTATTAAATAAAATTAAGGCATGCCATTTTTCGAGTTTGCTACTATCTTTTTTATGTAATAGGTGGAAACAAATTAGGTTTACATCAGGCATGCCATTATTTACTTAGGTGCTTAACAAATTGTGATCAGTATGAAAGACCAAATCTTGCGATATTTTTCCGCAAATGGATATGATATTACCTTGTTTTATTTTTTGGCGTTTCAGTGTTGATTGTGGGGTCATTGCGATGTACTTTATGTTGGACAATCTCAAAACGTCAAAACATGGTGCCTCAGTTTACAGAGAACACAATGAAGGAATGTCGTGCGAAAATCATTAACAAATTTATTAATGACGGGAAAAGTTGGAGAGATGATTAACATATATAGTTAGTCAAATCTGCCAATTATGTAATATTTTTTTTTAAAATGTGAACCAATGTCATTTTATTGTTGCAATGTGACACTAAGCTTTTATCATTTTCTTTATGAGTTTATAAGCCAAAAGCTCTATGACCGATTATGAAATGAAATAAGTATTTTAATACTGTTTTGATTTATTGTGCATCTATTTATTATGTTTAATGCCATATCGTATATGCGTTTTGTGTCCTGAGAATTATTTGGTAATGTCATTTTTTTGTACCTATTGCTGCTGTTAAAATGTAATCAATATCTTATTTGATGATGACCAAAAAGATCATTCATATGTCTCATTTAGACAAAAAAAGACAAATCTCACTCCTATATAAAAAACTCTAAGAAGACAAGTCTCACTCATATTTATTAAGTGTACCTCTTTTTTGAAGACAATTAACAATGTCTTTAAAATTGTACCTACACCTGTATCCCTATTTCACTAGGTAATTTCTCTGTAATTTACCTACAATTAGACATGATTTCACTAGGTAATTTCTGATCTACAACATACTAGTTGTTTACCTACAATCTTTGAGATAATATATATCCTGTAGACCCTTTTCCTAGTTAATACCTAATTTACCAACAACTAGTAGGTGTGTCTGACTCTACACCAATTTCCTAGATATATACTCATAACTATACAACTTAACCACGCTAATTTACCTACAATGGGATATATATACCCCATTTATAGTTATCCATAATACATTAGGTAAATTATTCAATTTTAATGTATCTAAATATATAGGTATATGGATATGCAAGGCAAATTATTGCCATGAGTGTTAGATTGATACTAAGATAAATTCTGTTATGTTATTAGACAACACATAAACAAGTGCACCAATAGGTGTAAAACTTAACCTGAGCGATTCATTTTTAAAATAAAAAATGAAAACATTGACAGACTTCAAGATTATACCTCAATAGAAAGGATAATCCTGATTAAAAGACAATACCATAGCAGGTGTGTAAAAAAAAGGAAACATCCTACATGTCTGTAGTAGGTGTACTGTTTGTTGGTAATTTTAGCAGGCTTAAATTAATAACAAGAACAAAGAGTTGAATGGAAGAATCATGAGTAGGACCAAGATGAAGATAGTATCAAATATAGATAGTGCATGTTGTTTTGTCGTGACGTCCTAGTTGTCCGCACCTGCTACATGTTAGTGGCCTTTTCTGTTCCCCTAAAGATTTGATCCGCTTCACCCTGGGTCTTCCTGGAGGTTTCTTTGACACTGGCAGGTTCACCAAAAACTCTTCACTTGCCTCTTGTGCATGCCTATCAATATTTGGAATTGGGAAAATAGGTATGTTGTAGCATTTCTTAAAATGTTCAATCGTGAAGTACTCTTCAATGTACTAAAAGGGTTCTCGTCATTTTTAAGAATAGCAACAAGTGCATGCGCATGGGAACTCTTTGATTTTCCACATCCAGCATCTACAAGTGCGGCTTTGAAGATCAACCATTACAGAGTCTTCGCCGAACAAAAAATCACTTGAACGACTTACATCCCAATGACGCCCGATTTCCAATGATTTCTCTAACTTTGTCTCCATTTCTGGGCAAAGCATAGTGTTCCATCCCTCAGCCACACGTCGCCTATGAGCATTCATCTCCATGATCTTGACCTTTATACCATCAAGCAACTAGTATATAGGCAAATGACAGTGATCTACAATCCAGGCATTGAAAGATTCTGCCACATTCAAACACATTTCACCATACTTCTTGCCTGGTAAATCAAAATTACATCAGAATGTAAAAAAATACCTACAATGGATGGTGTATGCATCAACATATAAGAAAAAATTATACATCAATCATTGGTACAACTTAATCACAGTAATTTACCTACAATGGACAAACCAATATGCAGATCTCACAATTAGGCGTGTTTGTCTCTACACTAATTTCCTAGATATATACTCATCACTATTTAATTTAATATGTTGGTAATTTATCTAAAACTTAGTTCTACAACTTAATCACAATAATTTATCTACAATGGACATGGGATACATATGATAAGTTTGGGGAAAAAATATATACATACCAGATACAAAAACAAAAAGGAACTCATATGTACTAGTAAAAAAAAAACAATCTATCATACAAAACCATATGTACTAATCAGCACAAGATATACATTCTATTTTAATAATAAAAATAATGAATGCATAATCTTACCTGGAAAGTAAGCAACTAACCAATTCTCTTTTGGAAGAATTTTTAGGAACTCTCTAATTACAGCGTCACCCTCATCTTTTAACGTCCTTATATGCATTTCAAATGCATCTTTTGTAGGAGCATATGCACACCTACCAAAAAGTTCCACAATCTAGTTGCGGTATGCCTTACCCAAAGAAGATGGGTACTTGGCAAGGCTATTGTGCTTGAGGTGATGGAAACAAAAGGCATGTGGTGGATGAGGGAATACATATGGCAGTGCTTCAAGCAACCCTTTGTTACAATCAGATATAAATATAATATTTCTTCCTTAGGGATTGACAACCTCTTATAGATTTTGGAGAAACCACGTCTAATTTTCTTCATTTTCAAAATCAATGACTGCAAAGGCTAAAGGATACATACATGTTTCATTATGTCAACAATATCAGCATTTTAATTAAAAAATTATGTTACAGGCATTTGCATGTTGTCAACCATAAAACAAGAATTAGGATTTCATATTAGACATAAACCTAGTAAATAATATATATATATATAATTGGTGGAAATGGTGGTCAATAAATCAAGTTGGCAAGAGATATTAAGTTAATTCAATTGAAATTAACATTTACCTTGATTACCGTTTTTTCCTGTTGCAGCGAGCAAGTGACCTTTATATTTATTCTTGATAAACGTACCATTTAGAAATAACAATGGCCTGCAATATTTGAAGCCTTCTATGCAAGCATGGAAGGAGATAAAAATTGTTTGAAGCCGGATGTCTCCGGGTCACACTCCAACGTACAATGTGAACCATAATTTGAACTTAATACTGCTCCCACATACCAAGCTAGGTGTCTATATGACATTGACTCATCACCGTGAACCCTTTTCCTACCTAATTCCTTACCATACCAAGCACTATGATAAGAAATATCCAACCCATAATACTTTTTGAAATCCTTTACAATCTCAATCGGTTTCATTAATGGTTTGGAAGCAATCTGCTCAGCCAAAATGGACGATAGAACTTTTGAGCACATCATCGTACTCTTCCAATCACGAATACATTCGCTGCAAGTATGCTCATTATTTAGTGTCCAAATATTAAAAAAAACCATTTGCAGGACAGTATTGCATGCACATGCCAACTACAACTATCAGATGATTTTTTAGAGCACTCTGCAGTCACTCTCTCTTTCTCATTTTTTAGGTACACAACCTTAAACCCTTTCTCAATGGCGTATTTGCATAGCTTGTTTCTAAACTCATGAACCTCACCAATGAATTTATGGCCCACATGATTGATATAGTTTCTCCAAGTGTAAGATAAATATGCATGGTCAGTAGGTGCACCATATTTCCCGAAGTAATCATTCTCATCAATGTGATTGTAACCCTCTGCAGCAAGTGTAGAAAATCCAAATACCTCATTGGCACCGTTACCCCTCATCAAGCAACTGACATTCCTTGACAGCGATGGTGACAATATTTTTCTTCTCGTTCAATAATGACAAATACATAACACGCACATCTAAATCAGATTCCAGTAAATATGGAGGATAGTCAGCTACAAGGTATGTGATCTCAAAAGCTCCGACCTCCAACTCATCAAACCTTGAGCAAATATCAGAACACAAACACATATAAGTTGAGTCACTATACAATGGAATTGTCACCATTTTGTTCTTAAAAATGCATCTCCCAAATATAGAATGCTCCATTCGCTGTGGAAAAAAAAAGATGATAAGCACATATTTTCGTGTGGTGATACAGATTTGGTTGTAATGCAACTAGGAATACAAAAGTTTGCAAAAACAGAATTACTATACATAAAACAAATAAAGGAAAACCTATATACTTGTTCATGCAGTACCTAGTGGTTGTATATAGGTGCATATGATTAAAAAAACAATTGAAGGAAGGAAAAAAACAACTAATGCAAAGAGCAAATAACTGTACACAGAAAATAGTAATTGGTTTCATCTGCATATTTATTGTACAAAGGAAAAAAAAAAAAAAAAAAAAAAAAAAAAAAAAAAGAAAAAAAAAATTAATTAAAAATTTCGGATTATTTAGAAAGAGGAGATTTCACATGAATTTTCATATTAGTATAGTAAACGTATTAAGAAAACCTATATACCATGTTGACGGAGTACCTAGCGGTTGTATATAGGTGCATATAATTAACAAACAAACTAAAGGAAAAAAGAAAAGAACAAGTAATACAAAGAGTGAATAACTGTAAACGGAAATACTCATTGGTTTGATCTGCACATTTAGTGTACACAAAAGAAAAGAAAAAAAAAGTAACTTCCAAAATTAGGAGCAGCGAAATTAGAAAGAGAACTTCAACATGATGCCTATTAGTAGGTAAATCATTAGGTTCGCTTATATTGGCATACCCATGCAGAACGTTGCCCATCATTTACCTCATGTGCATTATGTACCTACCTATATCCATTTGGATCAAATTAATTTGAACCCCTCTTTTTACATCTCCTACATTATCTATGCAGTTGGTATTTCGTGAAACACGTGATGTGCAAAAATTAAACACAAACCCAACTTCTTGCTGGAAAAAAAATAATATCGATTATACAAGCGACAATACAAATTTCAGCAAACAACCAATTGTATTTTCATGGATATATCATTTGCATCAAAACCCCACTAGGTAAATTATCCCACTAGGTAAATTACTCATTAGGTACCTATCTTGTCGAGTAAGACTCTGCACCATAATTTACCTATCTAAGAAATCATATTTATAAATATGCATAAATTACCTGTGTTATGCAGGGCAGGCAACTCAAGATTTAAGTCGTCGGTGCCGGAATAGTTTGTCCCAGTCAGTGTTGTCGGCATAGGAATCTGGATGCAACAAGAACTCACGTGAAGGAAAATTAGGACTTTTCTCAGAAAAATAAAATGGATCCAACAAATCACTATCCTTTTGCAAGATACCATTATTCAAATTAAATTCATAATCAAAATTGATGCATAAAGAGGATTGAATTCCAGGCTAATTCGGTGGGAGGAAATCAAAACAATAAATTCAGGAACCAAAAGGCTTAATACACCTCCCATATAACACGTTAAATTATAAATAAGGATAGTTTTGGAATTCGAAAAATATAATAAATCAGATTTTAAGTTATATTAGGTAACTGCTTAGTTGGATCCTAGTCATTAGGTATTATTTTAAAAAAATTGGGTATTTTAAATAAAAAAATAAAAGGAAGGGTTGTAGATGATTTTAAATGAATTTTATGGGTGTAACCTAAATTTACTATACTAAAAAAACAGAGAAAATTTTTAAATTGGGATTTATCTTAGCCATTTTGTTTATGAAACTATTTTTGGACCACTACTTGTGCTTTTACTCGAATAGTTCCATAAACAAAATGGCTAAGATAAATACCAATTTAAAAATTTTTGTTTATGGAACTATTTTTGGTTTGAACTGTAAAAAAGTGCTCTAAAATGGAATTCTAGAAGTGTGAATGGTGGCTTGATCAAGAAAATTGGAAAATTCGCTTTTCAGAACGTTTTCTAGTTGTGCACAAGTACAAACCAAATAAATTTTCACGAGAATGTGTCGACTAAACCTACAACATTCAAAGTTGACAACTCAAGGATACTGTGATTTATGGTTGTGCATATAAGAAAGGATTTATGTAATTGTAGACAAAGAAATTTTGGCGAATTAAATTCCACTAAATAAGAAAATAATTAGGGTTTGGTGGATTAAATTGTGGGCCCCTCCCATGTGGCATATGACTCATCAAAATTGGATTAGTTGTCAAAAGTGACATGTGTTGACATCCGACGGAGTGCATCAAGCGGTTCAAAGTGAAGACAAAATTCAGGGAAAGAATCTTCTATGATTGACTTTGATTTAAATCAAATATTAATCAAGTCAATCAATTGAAGATAATTTGGTTAAATTGCCAAATTATTGGAATTGATTTTAAAATCAAATCAGAATTCCACAAAGGAAGGTTTTAAAGAGGGAAAGTTATTTAGGTAAAGCATCCTACAGGAGCCTATAAATAGGAGGCCTCAAGATGAGAAAAGGGGCTTAGATAGACCAAGCATTCAGAAGAAACAGAAAACTCTCTGCATTCTTCACCTCACTTTGGAAGAGCCACCAAGCACAACAGATACGTGCCGGTTCCTCCACCTTAGAAAAATCTAAATACCAAACAAGCCTTGTGCTACCCGTTTTCTTTAAACACTTTGGAGATCGAATCAGAGGATTCAATACAGAGATTATAACCCTAAATTTCATTAATACAATATTATTTTGTACACATGTTCTTGTCTTTTTTGTCCCAAGATTTTCGTGTTTACAAATTTGGCATGCCCAGTGAGACCATCTCTGCCTCTCATCTCTTTCTTCAGTTCCAAAGTCAAGTAACACATCGAAACGATGGCTTCCAAGCAGAATCTTCGCTTGAGAAAGAGGTGGTCACGCTTTTGCCTCTCGTCACGGGAGCGGTTTGAATCTTCTTGGAGCAATACGCGTAGAATTGGTAAAGGCGTTGATGAATCTTAATATTCATCCAAATAAAATAAGAGAGGCTGAAAAATTAAAACATGAGTCTCAAGACCGTGCTATTTGTTGCGCGACATGTGCTTCCATCACATTCACCGATGAAGATCTTTTGTTAGGGTCCAAACCACACAACCGTCCGCTTTTCGTGTCTGGGTATGTGCCAGAACAGAAACTTAGTCGCATGCTCGTGGATGAAGGTTCAGCAGTAAACATATGCCTAAGTCCACAATGACAAAGTTAGGCATCACCATAGACGAATTGTCTCGAAGTCGTCTCATGATTCAAGGCTTCAATCAAGGGGGCCAAAGAGCCATGTGCATGATCATAATTGAGCTTGTGATAGGTGATTTAAGGTCCAACACCTTATTTCACGTAATTGATGCCAAGACTTCCTACAATATTCTCTTAGGAAGGCCGTGTGTGCATGAAAATGGGATAGTGCCTTCGACTTTACATCAATGTTTCAAATTTTACAGAGGTGGAGTGAAGAAAATCCTGGGTGATGTCAAACCATTTACCAAAGCCGAGTCTTATTTTGCCGATGCCAAGTTTTGCATGGATGAAGACATGGTATCTGAAGTTATCCCCGCTGAGGTCCACTCGACAGGCAAGACCATACCAAGAAAAGATGAGCAATCAAAGTGCCTTTTCGCTGAAGAGAATGGTAATAATAAGTCAAAAAGCACCGCCTTTGAACAAATGGGATCACCACCGATAGATTCATAGAAGGTATCTATTCCTGTTCTTCGTTATGTCTCATCATCCCGAAGGAAGGAAGGCCAATCCCCATTTGGAGAAGAAGTGAAATTGAGAAAGTTAGGGGAAAGTGACATAAAGTTCTTGAAGGAGTCTACAACCATGCCTTCACCCAAGTTGGGCAATTCAGATGTGTCGAAATCTTCAGTACCAGGGTTTGTTAGACCATCACAAGATGCAACAAGACATGAATATCTTCTGGTCAAAAGAACTAAAGAAGGTTAGATCCTAATGCTTATAAGCTCATGTCAAAGGTAGGTTATGACTTCGGCTTATCTTCCTCGTTGGGGAAGCTTAATCCAAATGTCGCAGGAGAAAGGACACATGGCCTTAGCGAAACCCGAAAGAAGTTGAAGGAGCAGGGTTACACAATCGATGCAGCTAGAGTAGGCCTAGGCTTTACTCCCATCGCACCTGTCAAGATCTCTGCTAGAAGAAAAGAAAATAAGGCAGAAGCTCAACACATTAGTGTCAAAGCGGTTGAGGAGGAAGAAGAACCAAAGGCTATTAAGAGAGCCTCAGTGTTCGACCATTTAGCTAAGCTTACCCAGCGGACCTCAATTTTTAGCCGCATCAAAGAATCGACATCACGACCTTCTGTGTTCGAAAGGATATCTGGACATAAGAATCAAAGGAGAATCCAATCAGCTCCACACAGATCGGCGCTAGAAAGACTCGGAGTCCTAAGCAAGCTGTCTGAAGAGGAAAGCCAGTGAGAGTTGGAAAGTGGAGTTCATGTTGATTCGACGAAAGGATATCTGGACATAAGAATCAAAGGAGAATCCAATTAGCTCCACACAGATCGACGCTAGAAAGACTCGGAGTCCTAAGCAAGCCGTCTGAAGAGGAAAGCCAGCGAGAGTTGGAAAGTGGAGTTCATGTTGATTTGACGGAAGATAATGAAATCCGGAGCCTAATCCCGTCACGTATGAAACGTCACTCAACATTAGACGTAACTTTAGGTGACCAACTCAAAGTGAAACAACGAACAATCATACAAACTCGGAAAAATTTGAGTCAACAAAATGAAAGTGATGATGAAGAAGCAGAGATTCTAGCTGTTCATCACGTTACTATTAAGGAGCTCGATGAAGAGGAACCTTTCGAGGATGAGGTTCATGATGCTCCTGTTGCATTAAAAGATGGGGGCCAAGTGACTGTTGATGAATTAAAAGAGCTCAACTTGGGCACAAATGAAGACCCAAGACCTATCTTCGTTAGTGTACTTTTGAATCTTAGTAAAAAGGAATCATACCATCAGTTGTTACTTGAGTATAAAGATGTCTTTGCTTGGACGTATAAGGAGATGCCAGGCCTCGATCCAAAAGTTGCGATCCATCACCTTGCAGTCAAACCTGGAACGCATTCGATCAAACAAACTCAACATCACTTCTGTCTGGAGCTCCTAAATCAAATCGAAGTTGAAGTCGACAAGTTGATCACCGCCGGATTTATTAGGGAGGTGAAATATCCGACGTGGATAGCGAACATTATTCCGGTGAAGAAGCAAATCACTGGAAAAATTCGTATTTTTGTTGGCTTCCGTGACTTAAACGAGGCTTGACCGAAGGATGACTTTCCATTGCCTATAATTGAGCTCATGGTCAATGCAACCACAGGTCACGAAGCCTTATCTTTCATGGATGGTTCATCTGGATACAATAAAATAAGAATGTCGTCAGAGGACAAAGAACTCACAGCCTTCCGCACTCCAAAAGGAATTTATTGTTACAAGATGATGCCATTTGGCCTCAAGAATGCAGGTGCGACCTATCAACGTGCAATGCAAAAGATCTTTGGTGACATGCTTCACAAGAATGTCGAGTGCTACATTGATGACCTGGTGATCAAGTCAAAAAGAAGAGAAGATCACTTGAAAGACTTGAGAATGGTGTTTAACAGATTTCAGAAGTACCAACTCAAGATGAACCCTTTGAAGTGTGCTTTCAGTGTCACGTCAGGTAAATTTCTTGGTTTCATAGTTAAACATCAAGGCATCGAAGTAGATCAGACCAAGATTAAAGCCATCCGAGATATGCCCGAGCCAAGAAATTTACGTGAGTTGAAGAGTTTACAAGGACGCCTTGCGTTTATTTGGCGATTCATCTCAAACTTAGCAGGGAGGTGTCAACCATTCAGTCGCCTTATGAAAAAGGATGTTCCATTTGTTTGGGATGAAGCTTGTCACAATGCCTTTAAAAGCATAAAGAAGTACCTATCGAGTTCACCACTGTTAGGAGCTCCTATTCCAAGCAAATCACTCATATTGTACATTGCCGTCCAAGAAAGATCAATTGGAGCCCTTTTAGCGCCAGAGAATGAGTCACACAAAGAGCAAGCACTCTACTATCTAAGCCGAACACTTACTGGTCCCGAATTAAACTACATGCCTATAGAAAAGACGTGTCTTGCACTTATTTTTGCTATTCAAAAGTTAAGGCACTACATGCAAGCGTTCACAGTTCATCTAATTGCACGAGCTGACCCGGTGAGGTACGTTATGTCAAAACCAGTCTTTACGGGGTGTTTGGCCAAGTGGGCGTTACTTCTCAATCAATATGAAATCATCTACACTCCAGCAAAGGTGGTTAAAGGGCAAGCTATTGCAGATTTCCTAGCCGATCATCCAGTTCCAGTAGACTGAGAAATTTCAGATGACTTACTCGACGAACAAGTCTTCTTTGCTGACGTTTCTCCTGCTTGGATGATGTTATTTGACGGATCGGCTCGTAAAGATGGTGCGGGGGTTGGTGTAGTCTTCGGATCACCCGAGAGACATGTATTGCCCTATTTATTCTATTTAAGTGGAGTTTGCTCGAATAACGTTGCAGAATACCATGCTTTGATCATGGGCTTACAAATGGTCGTGGAGATGAAGATATCGAGCTTAGAAGTATATGGTGACTCCATGTTAGTGATCAACCAACTGTTGACCCACTATGAAGTTAGGAAGGATGATCTAATTCCATACCACCAAATGGCCACGCAATTACTGGAAAGGTTTGACTTCGTAACGCTAGAGCATGTGCCAAGAAAAGACAACCAAATGGCAGATGCCTTAGCCAATCTTGCCGCTACGTTGGCATTGACAAAAGATGAAGCGATGAATCTTCCAGTTTGCTAACGTTGGGTCGTTCCATTAACATTTGGGGCATCACAAGAAGAAGTCAATGTTATCTCGGTATTGTCCATTGACGTTGACGATTGGAGGCATCCTTTAATTGATTATCTTGAGCATGGGAAACTGCTAGATGATTCGAGACATCGATCAGAGGTACGGCGTCGGGCACCTCGATTCATTTATTGCAAAGAGATTCTATATCGTCATTCATTCGAATGCCTGTTTCTAAGATGCTTGGGCGAAGAAGATGCATCCAAAGCAATGAAGGAGGCTCACTCAGGTATTTGCGAAGCTCATCAATCAGGGCCAAAGCTACATTTCCAAATAAAGAGGATGGGTTACTATTGGCCCACTATGGTCAAGGATTGCATGGATTATGTGAAGAAATGCCAAGCATGTCAATTCCATGCCAACTTTATACACTAGCCACCGAAGCCGCTACATCCTACAATTACTTCATGGCCATTTGATGCGTGGGGTCTTGATGTGGTGGGACCAATATCACCCAAATCTTCTGATGGTCATTCTTACATCTTGGCAGCCACCGACTACTTTTCAAAATGGGCAGAGGCTGTACCCCTAAAAGAAGTAAAGAAAGAAAATGTAGTGAGCTTTATCAAAGTAAACATCATTCATCAGTATGATGTGCCGCGTTACATCATCGCAGACAATGGAAAGCCATTTTCGAACCGGTTAATGGATAAATTGTGTGAAGACTTCGGTTTCAAGCAACGCAACTCTTCAATGTACAATGCCCCAGCCAACGGTCTCGCAGAAGAGTTCAACAAAACTATTTGCAACCTGTTGAAGAAAGTCATTGGAAGAACCAAGAAAGATTGGCATGAAAGGATAAATGAAGCATTGTGGGCTTATCGGATGACATACCGGACGCCTACTCAGGCTACACCATATTCACTCGTATATGGCGTGGAAGCAGTCTTGCCTCTAGAAAGTCAAATTCCATCATTGAGGATGGCCGTACAAGAGGGATTGACTGATGAAGAGAATGCAAAGCTACGTCTCCAAAAGTTAGAAGCACTAGACGAAAAGAGACTCAAAGCGCAATAACGCTTAGGGCTCATTTGGTACACTATATTAGACTCTGGATAGGAGTAAATAGTCTATGTCAGGTGTTTGGTGTCAACTTGTATTATTTAATTACTCGACTATTTTATACGGGTTGGGCTTTTAATACTTTCCTTACCTGACTAACTAATACAACCCACACACCCCGATTTAGATAATACACGCTTAATTATACGGCTAAGCACGCATTCTACGAAAAAAATCAGACGTTCTTTTCATCTTCTTCAACCTAGGGTTCTTCTCTGCTATCTTCTCCACAGGTTATTTTCTTCACTATTCTCCAGGTATCCATCTCTCACTCACTCTCTCTCTCTCTCTCTCTCTCTTTCATACTCTCTCCAATATGTTTCTTCTTGCTTCTTCTCTATTCTTTATATATTTCAATTTTTTATATTAAATTTTGTGGAAATTAGATTATGTATTTTTCGTTTTTGAAATTAGGTTATGCTTACTTACATGAATGAAAGCTAAATCTTAAAATGATCAAATTCCATTGATATCAGAGACAACAATGCTTTATCTTTTTGTGAATAGGCACTTGGAAAGTGATCAAATTGTATTGATATTTTTTCCCAAAGACTTTGACCCTTTTATTGATTCTATCTTCAATCTGCCCACCACCTTAAGGCATATGTCCCTTCCTCCTGCGATTTACCCAACCCCCCCCAAAAAAAAACTCGAAGTACATAATAATATATGAACCTTTTATTGCTTCTGTTCTGCTGCTATTTCTGTATATGCAAGCCGAATGGTATTTTGTACTCTTCTGTCATGTGTAGAATTCTACTTATTGTTGTATTATTCTAATTTTACATGTAGTCTTGTGTAATACATGATTATTTATATTGCTAAAATTAATGCATGGTTATTTATATTACTTTTATTGAAAAATTTCCTTTATATTATGCCTAGATATGGATGAAAGAAAGATTGTGGCATACTTTATTATTAGATTGTGGTTCTTGCATATCATGGTTTGGTGCATGATGTGGTTCATGACAAACTACAATTTGGAACAACGACGCCAACAACGGAATGCCATTAGGAGTCAAAGGTTTTTCAGGATTGAAACTCGGTCAAATTATTTAGATAGCATTATAGGAATTGATGACATACAATGTGTGAACCAAATTAGGATGGATAGGATAACTTTCCATTATTTATGTCAATTGGTTCGTGATGATGGGAGAGTGAGAACAAATGGTTCAGTAACCATAGAAGAGCAAGTGTGTATCTTTTTACATACACTCGCACATCATGTGAAGAATCGTACAATGAGTAGTAGATTTAAGCGATCGGGGAAGACTATTAGTAGGTACTTCTATTCAATCTTGGATGGAGTGATAAGATTACAAGGTAGAATTTTGAAGGTGCCGGAACCAATACCTAATAATTGCACCGATAATAGATGGAGATGGTTTAAGGTACTGTAAAATTAAATTAAGATTGGCCAATTTTATTATTATATTTATATTTTAAGTTTCTAAAGTACCTTTTTTTTTAACTGCGTAGAAATGCTTGGGGGTGTTGGATGGGACTTACATTAGGGTTCGTGTCCCTGAACAAGATAAACCAATATATCGAACACGAAAGGGGGAGGTTGCAACCAATGTATTAGGAGTTTGTACTCCTGACATGAAATTTATATTTGTTTTCCCTGGTTGGGAAGGATCTGCGTCAGATTCTAGGGTGTTACGAGATGCAATTAGTAGACCAACAGGATTAAGAGTTCCTACAAGTAATATTAGATTTTTGTGTTTCATTATGGTAATATTAAGCTTGATTATCTTTATGGTAAGGTACATAATATTTGTTTAATTGTTAGGATGTTATTATCTTGTGGATGGTGGGTACACAAATGGTCAAGGATATCTGGCTCCTTATAGGGGTACAAGATATCATTTATCTTAATGGAGGAATAGAAGGGCACCTAATAATCATGAAGAGTATTTCAATATGAAGCATGCTGCTGCAAGAAATGTGATTGAAAGGTGTTTTGGACTTCTTAAGATGCGTTGGGGTATTTTGCGAAGTCCAACATTTTTCCCAATTGAGACACAATGTAAAATCATTACAGCTTGTTGCCTATTACATAATCTTATTCGTGGCGAGATGGCTGTCAATCCATTGGAGAATGAATTGAATGGTACTGAAAATGGGGAAACTAACCAAGATGGTGATGTACTTGGCACTATTGAACCTTCATATCAATGGACTACATGGAGGAATAATCTGGCTATGCAAATGTACGATGAGTGGAATAGGAACAGACATTAAGTTGTAGTTCATATAATTTATTTGTATTTTCTTGTAGTAGACTATTTGGATGTGCTTGTAATAGACTATTTGTTTTGATAATTAGTATTTATTTTATTTGATCTTCCAACTTTTTTTTCTTAATTATATGTATGCAAATTATATTGTCTATATTGGCTATAGGAATGGAGAGTGGACAGTCAAGTCAATCAAAAAGAAGTAGAAGGGTGTGGAAAGCACATGAGGAAGAAGCATTGTTGACCATACTTGAGGATGTAGTCAACCAAGGTTTACGATGTGATAATGGTTCCTTTAAATCTGGAACAATGATCCAAACTGAAAAATCGTTGGTTGAGAAATTTCCCAATACTGATTTCAGGGTAGTCCCACATATTGTGTCCAAGATGAGGTTTTGGAAAAAATTGTATGGGATAATATTTGACATGATTAATGTTTGTGCAAATAATCTCACGGGAGAATATTTGCTCCTAGATCCTTCAACCTTCAATCTTCCTTCTCTCTCTTCCTTGATTCCTGTAAAAAAGACTGGACTAAATAGACCACACCCGGGGGGTGTTGGTCAAAGGCCCTCCGATGCTTAAGTTAGTTCGAGTGTTTGTAGGAAAACAATAGCTAAGCAAAGGGTACGGAGTTTATGTATGGTGTGAACCGGGCGGCCGGAGCCGTGTGGAGAAAATATGGAGAGTGGAGAGAGAGTGAGAGCTTCAGGTATTTTTCTCGAGTTTAGGAGTAGGTTTAGATGTACCTTGAAGGATGAATGAAGCCGTCTATTTATAGGAGCCTTGGGGCTAGGGTTTCTTAGAGAATATGCTGAGTTTATTCTCTACCCAAATTCGTAGGGATTGAGTCGGACTTAGATAATATCTGATTTAATGATATTATCTTCTCTTTATTGAAGATAATATCTGAATTAAATGATATTATCTCTTTTTATAAAGATAATATCTGAATTAATGATATTATCTTCTCTTTATTAGGATAATATCTAAATTAATGGTATTATCTTATTAAATAGAGATAATATCCCATTAATTAAGATATTTATCCCAAAAAATTAATTGGCCAGATAAACTGGTTCAATTAATTAATTTAAGAGATAATCTTCTTTTCCACGTGGCGTGCCCTGATTGGAGACGAAAATATATGCTCCCATAAATGCCCCCCAACTTCTGCATGGCGCTTGTGTGGCATGTAGGAGATGAAATTATTTTTTCTGAGATTTCCAACTGTGTTTGGGCTTTATTCTGCGAGTTGGACTCCTTTTGCAAATCGAATTCTCAATTGGTGAAGGCTTCTGACTGTTGTTGGAGTTGGATTCCCAGTAGGAATGACCTTGCCATCCCTCCTTGACCCAGGTTGTCCAACTTGTATAAATACATGGCTTCTCTTCACTCTTTCTCACATCGCAAACTTAACTTCTTTACTTTCTGGCTTGAGAAAGATCTTGGAGAATTTGTAGTGCTTGTTGAAGAGAGGAGTTGTCATGCATCCAAAGTAAGTCGAGCTCGTATATTTTTTCTTCATCTTCTTTTTTTTTAGGCGAGGACCAGCTAGGTAGGACCAGGCTGGTTGACGTCATGACTGGCGGTCGAAGACGGTTAGAGCTGCGATGGCTAAGAAGAGGAGAGAGTCATCTGCCCATGCGAAGAGCTCTTCTGCGACGTCAATGGCTGATCCCAAGGTGGATAAGTCCAGCCCTGAAAAGGATGCAGGTGTGTCTAATCTGCTCAAGACGAACTTTCTGTCAAATCCATCCACTTGTGCTCAGCTGGTTGATCAGATCCATTAGGTTGGCGATCTTGGTACTTTCTCAAGTCTCTTCTTGGAAAAACAAAGGGAAGCAACATTTCATCTACTTCAAAAAAGAGGTGGTGGAAGATGTCACGGATCAGACAGGTGGAGCTGTTGAGAGCATGGCTGATCATGCGGATGCGGAAAAGACTGCAAATCAGGGATCTCCTGCTGGCATCTCGGAGTAGATGAAGACTCCTTTATTTCTTTTCAGCTTTTGTAGTCTGCTCTTTGTTTAGAATAATTGGTCTTCTTTGACCATCTTCTTTTTGTTCAATTCGCATAGTGTCTTGTGAACTGCTTGAGTGTTTCTGGGTTGATGCATGTTTAGCCTACATCCGGAGACGTGTCGATAATAGTGGCCCGTTTGGACTATGTCCGGAGACGTGTCGATGATAGTGGCCTATTTGGCCTACGTCTGGGGACGTGTCGATGATAGTGGCCCGTTTGGGCTACGTCTGGAGACGTGTCGATGTGTGACCCGTTTGGCCTACGTCTGGAGACGTGTCGATGAGAGTGACCCGTTTGGCCTACGTCCGGAGACGTGTTGATGATAGTGGCCCGTTTGACCTACGTCTGGGGACGTGCCGATGACAGTGACCCGTTTGGCCTACGTCCGGAGACGTGTCGATGATAGTGGCTTGTTTGGCCTACGTCGGGAGACGTGTCGATGTTTGTGACCCGTTTAGCCTACGTCCGAAGACGTGTCGATGATAGTGGCCCGTTTGACCTACGTCCGGAGATGTGTCGATGTGTGTGACCCGTTTGGCCTACGTCCAGAGACATGTCGATGATAGTGGCCTGTTTGGCCTACGTCCGAAGACGTGTCGATGTGTGTGACCCGTTTGGCCTACGTCCGGAGACGTGTCGATGATAGTGGCCCGTTCGGTCTACGTCCGTAGACGTGTTAATGATAGTGGCCCGTTTGGCCTATGTCTGGAGCCGTGTTGATGATAGTGGCCTGTTTGGCCTACGTCCAGAGACGTGTCGATAAGAGTGGCCTGTTTAGCCTATGTCTGGAGACGTGTCGATGAGAGAGGCTCGTTTGCCCTATGTCTAAAGACGTGTCGATGAGAGTGGCCTGTTTGGCATACGTCCGGAGACGGGTCAATGTGTGTGACCCGTTTCGCCTATGTTCGAAGACGTGTCGATGATAGTGGCCCGTTTGACCTACGTCCGGAGACGTGTAGATGTGTGTGACCCGTTTGGCCTACGTCTGGAGATGTGTCGATGAGAGTGGCCCCTTTGGCCTACGTCCAGAGACGTGTCGATGAAAGTGGCCTGTTTGGCCTACGTCCGGAGACGTGTCGATGTGTGTGACCTGTTTGGCCTACGTCCGAAGACGTGTCGATGATAGTGGCCTGCTTGACCTACGTCCGGAGATGTGTCGATGTGTGTGACCCGTTTGGCCTACGTCCAGAGACTTGTCGATGAGAGTGGCCCGTTTGGCCTACGTCCAGAAACGTGTCGATGAGAGTGGCCTGTTTGGCCTACGTCCGGAGACGTGTCGATGAGAGTGGCCCGTTTGGCCTACGTCCGGAGACATGTCGGTTGCTTTTGTGAATACTCCATTGGAAAGAAAAGCTGGAACTTGTATTGATGTCTGTGTGACTACATTGCCTTATTGAACAAAAAAGATGAGTGCATGAGTAACATCAAAAGTAACTTGTCTGCAATGGAGGTGAGGAAGGCTTGGTTGCGTGCTTAGAGCCGAGCTGACTGGTGAGGAGCTTTATGGATAGTACCCTTGGAGGTGATGGGTATTTCATTGTCTTAGAACTTCCTTCCATTGAAAGATGATGAAAGGTTCGTCTTCCATAACTTGGTAGCTAGTGACGACTTGGGAGACGGAAGTCACCTGCTTGATCTTTCTCTTCTGCCCCCTAATGGTCAGTCTGGGCTTTTGGAGTCAGCTAGGATCGTGTTGATCCATATGACCTTTTTCGTGGAGGTTCATCGCTAGCTATGTCACAATCCTTGATTTTCTAGATAACCCTCCTTGCGATGAATTCCGTGCAATGGCCATCTCTGATTAGATCTTCGAGGTGCCTTTTCCAGGCGAAGTAGTCATTTTTGTAATGACCGTGCCCTTCATGGAATGTGCGGTATCTATCGGTATCCTTCTTGGTTGGGTTTCCCTTTAAAGGCGATGGTTTTTTCAACCAAGGCATGTCTTTTACTTGGGCCAGGATTTGTTGTATCCGGATAGTGAACTTGGTGTAGCTCTCAGCTATTGAAGCACCTTCCTGAGGCTGTGATCTGCGCTTGCTGTTCTCTTGGCTTACCTGCTCAGCTACTTGATTAGCCTTCTTCGTGGCGATCTGATCGTCGTCCTATAGTGCGTAGCGCTCTGCTATAGCGAAGACTTCTACCAGTGTTTGGCGAGAGAGATGGTCAGCTCACGATACAGCTCACATTTAGCTGGCAACCCCCTCTTGAAGGCAGATGACGCAATTTGGTCATCACATCCTACAATGTTTGCCCTCTTCATTTTGAACCTCTTGATGTAGTCTCGGAGGGATTCATCGAACTTCTTGTGCAGGTTGAACAGATGGTCAGGGTTCTTCTTGATCAACCCGGATGGCAGGGTGTGGAACCAGTCCTGAGCTGCTCCTTGGAAAGTCATGCACATTAGCGCGTTTTTAGCTTTGTAGAGGATCATAAGGCTCTTGAAGTGCTTCAGATGGCTTTCGGGATCAGAATCGCCTTTGAAGCATGTAAAAGAGGGCGTTGAGAATTGTTTCGGGGGAGCAACCTGCTCAATTTCGACGGTGAAAGGTGACGAGTTTGCTCGGTCTACCTCAACACGTAGCGCATCTTCGAAATTTCCACCAATCTTTAAGTCTCGAAGTTGGTTATTCACAAGCTTCTCAACGTCTTCCGCACACATGGCTAGTCGGTCACGTTGACGACCTTTACGATTTGGGCGAGACCGTGTAACTTCCTCGTTGGTTTGCAAAGGTTGGCCTTCTCGGCTGCGCTGCCTAGGCGGCGTGTTGGTGGACTGTGCTTGCGAGGGATTTTCTGTAACTTGGTGATGAGAATTGTTCTTCGAGAGCGGCAGTGGAGTGCCTTTCTTCACGGTCCTCATTGTGTGGGTTACCAAGTTGACCTCCCTGGGGGCCTAGCTTTTCGTTAATATTTCTCTGCAAGCGGGTAGCGGAGCGCCTCTCTTCACGATCCTCATTGCGGCGATTGTCAGTTTGACCTCCCTGGGAACCTAGCCTTTCATGAACATTTCCCTGCAGGCCCAGGCTAGCGCGGACGTCAAGTCTTGGGCCGAGTCTTTCTCACATGTTTCTTTGTGTGTGGCTTGCAGATGCTTGTGACATGCCGGCAAGCTGATCACGTTGTTGTCCCTCTCCTTGTCTGCCCATTCCTGCTCGACCTGCTTGGTACCTATCGAGTTGGCGATCGGTGCCTTCATCCATCCTTCTCTTTTCGCCCGGTTGTCCAAGGTCAAGGTTTTGAACCAAGTTTTTCTAGAGATCGAGTCGGACTTAGATAATATCTGATTTAATGATATTATCTTCTCTTTATTGAAGATAATATATGAATTAAATGATATTATCTCTTTTTATGAAGATAATATCTGAATTAATGATATTATCTTCTCTTTATTAGGATAATATCTAAATTAATGTTATTATCTTATTAAATAGAGATAATATCCCATTAATTAAGATATTTATCCCAATTAATTAATTGGCCAGATAAACTGGTTAAATTAATTAATTTAAGAGATAATCTTCTTTTTCACGTGGCGTGCCCTGATTAGAGACGAAAATATATGCTCCCACAATTAAGAAAAGTGGTTTTGCTTGGAATGATTCTTTGAAATGCATTGAGGTTGACAGTGATGAAGCATGGAACACTTATGTGCAGGTTAGTACACTTGTTAAGTAATATGAAATTCTTATATTTTTTTATACTTATATTTTTATTTATAATTTTTCCATTTTGATGCAGCATAACAAGGATGCTGATGGTTGGAGGGGGAAACAATGTCTAATATATGATGGTTGAAGAATATATTTGGGAAGGACCGAGCAACTGGTAGAGGGTCTGCAACTCCCACTGAAATGATGAATGAGCCAATGCATCACATTGATGTCAATGATGATGATGAGGAAATTGAGGTTGATCTAGATCATTCTGCCTCTTTGCCAAGATCAAATCAACAAAACTCAGCTAGCTCAAGCAGTCGACACCGCAAACGAAATGCAGATACTAATATTCAAAAGGAAATGGCTAAAGCATTTGGTGAGATGATTTCTGAGTTTGTTGACCAATTGAAAACTATAACTAATAGTTTGGTGAAAGGATCAGAACCAAGACCTAACATTGCTGCTGAATTGGCAAAGATGGACTTGTCTATTAATGACCAAATTAAGGCACTACGGCTAATTTTGGAGAAAGCAAGTGATGAGAGAACATTCCTGACATTAGATGGTGCTATGCGAAAAGCATTAGTTCTTCTCTTGCATGGGGCGAGGGAGCTGTGATTCACTCTTTGATGTCGTTTGGTTTATGAACAACTTTCCCTTTTGCTTTTATCACCTTAGTATGTGATCACTTTGAATTATACATTATTTGGTACTGTTTTTATTAACATATGCAAGTATGTTGGAATTTTTATGAGATACTACAATTATGATAATGGGGGTTATATGAAAAAAAATCTTGGCAAAAAAATTGAAAAACAAATCTTGTCATATGAATCTTACCCAAAAAATTTGTGCCATTTAAATCTCAATTTCTATTAAAATTATCAAAGAATTTTTTTTATTTTAAAAAAAGTCTGATATGATGTTATCCGGAACATCACCAAACACAGTATAACTTAGTCAGACTATTTATCCGGAACAGCACCAAACGCCTTATAATATTATGGATAAATAGTCAATACTCTCCAGAACAAATTAATACTATCTGACGGAAATTAGTCAGTACAGTCCGACGTACCAAACGAGCCCTTAGAGTGTTATCAAGCTCGACTTTTGAATGCTTTTAACAAGAAGGTACCAAACGAGCCCCAGGTCTTTTCAAGTAGGAAATCTTGTCCTCGCATTACATAGACCTATCATCACAACACACAAAACTGGAAGCAAGTTTACTTCGAAATGGGATGGGCCCTACGTAGTACAAGAAGTGTATGCAAGTGGTGCTTACAAGATCGTAGTAGAGGACGGTTTAAGAGTCGGCCCTATCAATGGAAAGTTCTTGAAACGATACTACGCTTAAAATGACACCAAGCTCCTAGCCCACATGAGCCTAAACTGCGTACGGGATAAAAAAATGTATAAATAAATAAATAAAAGGCTCGTTGGATTGAAAACCCGAAAGCGCGGTCCAAGCAAAAGTTAGAGCACAAGAAAGTCCGTTGAACTAAAAACTCGAAAGGGCGGTTCAAACAAAACTTAGGACACGAAAAAAAAATCCCTTGAACTACGTGATGACTTGATCCCTTTTCACCGAGGGTACGTAGGCATCTTGGACAAATAATTCCAAGTTCAGTCACTTCAAAATAAAAACAAAGGGTTTCCCCTATCAATTCGAGCCATTTGAAAGAAATAATGAAATAAGAAAATGTTTTTATTTCATTATGAAAGATAACTAACAAACGTCAACACTTTGACAAGTTCAAGGAGAAATATAAATAAAGCAAAGAAAGTTTACAACAACAGAATTTGCTATTCCCAAGACAAGTCCTTGAAGCCGTTATGCAGTTTCTCAAAAGAAACTCGTAATGTATCTAAAGTCTTAGCATCTACAGCACATAGTACAATAGCTCCTTCAACCACAATCTTATCCTCTCTCAAGCGGGTAACCTCACGATGATGGTAAGAAAGCTTTACATCACTCTCTGAAAGTGATTCGTTTAGTTGATGTAGTCTCAACTCCAATTATTCTTGTTCTCTCTTCAACTCTTCCATACGCATGTTGGCAGATTGAATAGACTCAAGTATGGAAAATTGATGAGTCTCTTCAGCTTGTTGCAAAGCCAAGGCAATAGAAAGTGAAGAGTCAACTGCAGCTAAACGATCGCTCTGAGCCTCGGGAGATAGCTTTTGGGAGTAAGTAGAGTGCGCAGAATGATAGTCAACTGTGGTTACCATAAGTGCATCGATCATAGCTCATAAAGATTAAACGTCCACCCGCACATTGTCAAGGATAATCAACAACTTGCCAAGTTCATCTTTGAATGAAGGAAGCCTTTCTAATGAAGCCTTGAAGATTATACTTTTTATCTGGTTTCCTAAAACGGAAATTACTTTGCGAAGGGTGTTGTCTACAACACCTAATTTGGGTTCCCCACAAGACATTTCAGAAGTTGATGCATGATTAGCCGACTTTAATAAATTTGGCGGTGCAAACGAACCTACATTGGCCGACGAGTAATGGTCAAGCAAGTAGACTCAAAGATTTCTAAATACTAAGTGTGATAAAGATTGGAAGCATACATCTTAGACTATCACCTCAACCACTTATCAGGTGCAAAGTATCATTTTCTCCTTCGATAGGCAAATGGTTGAATGACACGAGCTCGAACATAGTAGGAACATGATGTACTACTTCTCCCTAAAATGTATATAATAAATTAGAATTGGTAAAAAAAAAAAAAGAAAAAAAAAAAAAAAGAAAAGTTTAAAGTGCAGTACCTCGTTCTTTAGAACTGGTTGTGAAATAGCGGGTACATCACAAAAGAATGTGTCATCAAGTGGGTATGTCGTGTCTAGATCGCAATAAAAAGGTTCGACGCTTGTCTTCTTATGCCTAAAGTTCACTTCACTGTCTTCATTGTTGCTTATATGCCCTCGCTTCAAACGGCGAATTCGTCGACCAAGGGGAATGAAATCTTCCTGGGAATCTACTACACTTTCTGTTTCTCATTTATCATTAGGGACTCAAGTTGAAGGAACATCAACTGGAAGTGGCTGTTGAACTCGAGGCACAGGAGTAGTATAACTACCTTCAACTTCTGGATGAACTTGGAGCGCTCTACCACGGGTGAGTTTATCATGAGCTAAAGTTTCGTTGCCTTGAGACTTAAAAGATTTTGGCTGAGAAAGCGACGACGACTTGCCTACAATTGAAATTGTCTTTGATTTCGTCAAGTCAAAGCGATGAACCTTCGACCACCAAATAACATAATCGAATGTGACCTCAAACTCCCGGATATTGTCCTTAGTGGGTAGGGTTATTGTAGATGCACTGCCAATCTTCAATCATGATTTGCAATGTGAGTACACTGATAGCACAGTCCCATTCCGGACGTCATCTTTAAGTTCTCTTGGCACATGTTGTACATAACAAAATTGTCTGCTGAACCGGTGTGAGCTATAAGGTTGGATGACTCCGTAGTTTTCTTGTCGTAGAGAAACGAATCTCGAACGAAGACATATCAAATACTCAAAGTCTTCTTTAGAAATATGATCTTCATCAGTCAGTTGTTTGCATTCTGAAAATACTCTTGCCAGATGACTCATTTCCACTTTACCATAAGTCCGGAACAAAGCTCGAGCTATTGAGTCTTCAAAAAATTTCGCCGAAAGTCTTCCTGAGAACCTTGCCATGATAGGAATGGACTTCTTGGAAGATGATGTGAAGTGTGTGTCGAAGTATTCGCCCAACCACCCATACACATAATGGAAAGGTAGAACAGTTGTGCAATTTCCTGGATCATCTGCACTAGAAATATCTTGCAGCCCCTTGTAAATGTTGGCCAATACTGGAACATCTACACTAGATACACCGTGTGCCATTCGACTGGCAACTTTGAAAACCCCTGGTCTGATCAAAGTGACATCGTCTTTGGGAAATACAAATTTGCACAACCAGCAAGCAAGGAATGCAGCCAAGTAGGATTTTTCCATGTCTTCATCAGTTATACCCAAATCTTCAAAAACCCCTTCCTCTTCCTCAGTGCGTTTCAGTGCCATCGGAATGATACTAGATGGACCAGAGTCCTCCTTTGGCTTTTGTGACTTGTTTCGTATGGTTTTCCTTAAGGGTTTTTTTATACTTGAATGGCCATCGATACCAGTACTTTATCCAAGCAGTCATTCTCACTCCAGATTTTCCTTTAGAATCTCATAAAATCTTGTGATACTCTAAGAATAAGTAGCGACAAATGTGTGGGATATAAGACACGCCTTTATGATCCTTCCTGTTGAGACTCTCAGTGGTTGGAATAACTTCATCATAAAATCGACCTGTAATAGGGAGACCGCCAAAGGGAAATAGACATCTCTCCTTGCGACGTATGAAGAGTATTTGTTGCAGGACACCAGTACTCGCAAAAGGCTCAAATGACTGGAGCATGTCGATCATAGCTAAATAATGAGGCAAACATTGTATTATATAGACCGGTGCTCTTCAGAACCTGAGTATTTCTACTTAGTACATCTTCAAGCCATTCCCAGTAATATTTGGTAAATGTAGATTCACTAGCCGTCGGGAGAGCAGAACTCCAATTCACTGCTCCATTATGGATTCAATCGCTAAGAAGTTCGAAAGCCTTTGATGAACCAATATATGTATGATGCGAGTACTTTAAGTGTAAAACAGTGGAGTGAAGGTCCCTATCTGTAGACTTGGATTTTTTTAAGCTTCTTAGTTGACAAATCACCTCTTGAGACCAAGATGGAATATGAAGAGAATTGTCCACCTCGGATGCTTCCGAAGCTAGGAGGGGCGCACCTACATGCAATGTGGTACCTTCGTCCCGGTTATCACTTTCATCCTCAAGAATAGTGACGGTGCCTTTCTTGAAACACTTGAAGAAGGCCATCTTTATAAGACGAATGACATGAAACAATATTCATTATCAAAAAAAGCAAGTTTGATAAAGGTGAAAAACAATCTTCACTTGTCTTCCACCAACGTAAAACCTAAGCGCTTGAGCAGGTTATCACCAAGTCGGAGAGATGGATCAAACCCAAGCAGTATAGGACGTCTACGTTCTTCACTCGTCCTTCACTTACGTAAAGCTTAAGCGCTTGAGCGGGTTATCACCAAGTCGGAGAGATGGATCAAACCCAAGCGGTATAGGACGTCTATGTTCTTCACTCGTCCTCCACTTACGTAAAGCCTAAGCGCTTGAGCGGGTTATCACCAAGTCGGAGAGATGGATCAAACCCAAGCGGTATAGGACGTCTACGTTTTTCACTCGTCCTCCCTATGTAAAGCCTAAGTGCTTGAGCGGGTTATCACCAAGTCGGAGAGATGGATCAAACCCAAGCGGTATAGGACGTCTACGTTCTTCACTCGTCCTCCACTTACGTAAAGTCTAAGCACTTGAGCGGGTTATCACCAAGTCGGAGAGATGGATCAAACCCAAGCGATATAGGACGTCCACATTCTTCACTTTCTTTCAAAGTACCTATTGTAAATATATATATATGTATAAATATCATCATATAAAAAAAATAAAAAAATAAAAAATGATTGAAAGAGTAATAGACGTGCGGCAGCGAAGGAAAAAAAAAGAAGAAGGGGTTATTTCGAGCTACTTGGACTAGCCCAAGCTGAATGGAGCAGCCCAATTTGCCCACTTCTCCAGCCAGCGCTAGTCAGTCCCAGTTTCAGCATGGAGGCCCACGTCGCGCCTGGCCCGTTAGCTTCAGCATGGAGGCCCACGTCACGCCTAGACCCAGCCCTTCTTCTCCTGCTCAGCCCGCGCCTCACCCAAGGCCCATCGTCGCCTTGCCCCCAGCTCCAGCTCGTGGCCCGCTTGCTCCAGCTCCAGCACAAGGCCACGTCGCACACCAAGGTCAGCGCCTCCATGCTTCCACTTCGAGCCCAACGCATGCAGGCTCAAGCCTGCCAACCTTCCAGACCTCCAGCAATGCACGCAGGGTGGAACCTGCCAGCTTTTCCACCCTATTAAAAAAAGAAAAAAGAAAAAAAACTGAGAGAGAAAACTGACGCAAGCACAGTAAATTCGTGTGCCAAGGGAATTTTCTGTTCATACCGATAGAGAATGTGCTATTCAACCAGCAAGTTTTTTGACATGCCCAAAACGGTGGGTTCTTGTGGTTGTGGAAAAAAAAAAAATTTCAACGTTAGTTTTCTTTGTTCCTCTGGCTGCATATATATATATATATATATATATATATATATATGAAATTACTTAAAATAAAGATAACTGAAAATATCAATTTTATTCATACTCACAAAAGCAACTTCAAGATAGCAACTTCAAATCTCCAGATACAAAACACTCAGTGTTTACAAAGATGATTTCTCCAAAGTGTTTAGAGAGAATCTTTAAAAACTGAAAGCGTAAATTGTAATCTACGTACAACTGAGGCTAGGACCGGCTTATATAATACAAGGAAAGCAACTATGGTTTACAAAAGCAACTGGAGTTACTCAGAAAAGTAACTAGAGTAACCGAAAGCAATTCTGATAATGGAGAGACAACTGTGGAAGCACGGGAGCAACCTGATTCAACTTTCAATTATGTCTGGTAATAATTTGAGCAACTTTTGACTTTTCCTCAGCAACTTTCTTCTTTTACTTAGTAACTTTCTTCTTTTACTCATGGTGAACTGTCGGAGAGCAATGATGATAGAGGCACGAGAGGGCAGCTGGCTGCATAAAAAGATGCTTCAATCAATTATTCTCCGGGGCAATTATTGTGTCGGCAACTGAGCAATTATGACTACAACTGAGGGCAATTATTCTGCGGGCAACTGTGATGCTTAGTCAGAATTCAAATCATAAGCATCGTATGGGTCTTGGCTGTCTTCATACCAGGACTTTTTCTTGGCAGGGGTTTGCATGGGCTGACAGCTGGACGATGAAGGGGAATCATTGTCTTCATCATCATCCATCTGGGAGGCTTGGATGATCAACTGGCAGGCAATTTCTTGGAGTTCGGACTTCGATTTTCCTTCGACTGAAAGAGAAGACCGGGTCGAACCAGTGGGGGAGACTGGACGCGGAATAGGCTCTTGGGGCAGATCATTGTAAACATATTTGGCAATTCTGTCAACTTCAAATTTATCCCACCATTTAACAGAGAATTGGCGGGCAAGAACTCAGGTAGAGTCTTTGGCAACTTTGTAGGACCACTTGAGGATCCAAGGAACTTTATATCTGGCAACAAAAAGCATCTGTTTTGGGAAGAATAAATCATTTTTTGCGAATTTGGCTTTTTTAGTATAATGGCGAATTAACTCATGAACTGAAATGGGTAAAATTTCATCAATTGGACCATGCTTTTCCCACCAATGGAGCAACCAGAAGGGAAAAGGACTTTTGAACTTATTGTCAAAATTTATAAACCAGGAGTGGCTAAAATCCTCGGTTTGATGGAGGAAGATAGAGTACCAGGCTTCAATATAATCAGAATAATTATACTGCAATTTTGACTGAAGGGTTTTTAACTCATAAGGGTGGCTACTGAAGGATTCTTGGCTTACGATCTTATGGATATAAAGAGAATGATAAAGGATGATCTCTGGGTGATCTTTATCCCTTATCGGCTTAATTTCAACTGATTGGGTTTCAAGTAATATATCTCTATAATACTTGAGGGACTTATATGAACTGGGAGGCATATAATGAAATCCAGGAGGAAAATAGTGCTTGGCTATTTCGACTGGATCAGAATGAACATCATAAATTGGCTCAAGAACAAATAAATGGGAAGTACTTTTGAGCATGTAAGGGGATGATTTTTTGAAGGCAACTGAGGGTCCAGCTGGGGAATCACCAAAGAAGGGATCATAACTGGAGATTAGGGTCGACTGATAGCTAGGGCGTATTTGGCCAACTGTAGAACCTAAAGCAGAAAATCTATTGGCAACTGAGATTGGTGTGGCAACTGAGATTGGTGGGTGACCTGGGTAAGGAACCACCTGCTTGGGGATTTCTGGCTTATTTTGACTCATAGATGCAGGGAGGATTCGGAGCGACTGGGAAGGCGACTGAGATGACTTAGATTGGCTGGTTGACTCTTTTTGCTTGTCTTTTTTGGGTGCCATTGTGCATCCTGCAAGAATTCTCTAGTAAGAAAATCAGGAATTGAATTCTCACTCCCTCTCAAATACTCAATATCAAAGTCAAATATACTCAAAATGCTTTGCCATCGTGCAAAAATCTGTTTAGATGCAATGTTTTGAACATCTTTTTCTAAAACATGTTTTGCAGATTTACAATCAACTCGTATTAAAAACTTTTGATTAAGTAAATCATCTTGAAACTTACTAATACATAATACAATAGCTAATATTTCCTTTTTAATAGTACTATAATTATATTGCGACTGGGTCCAGATTCCAGAATGAAAACGAACAATCTGTTCTGGAGAATTCGGACAGGCTCTCTGTTTCAGAATGCCACCATAACTTGTGTCAGAGGCATCGGTTTCAACTATTTTGAAGGAATCAACTGAAGGAATGCCAAGGCAGGGAAGTGTCTTGACATGGGCTTTGATTTGCTTGACAATTTCAGTATGAATATTTGACCATGGGGGAGGATTACTATGCAATCTATCAAACAAGGGCTTACATTGTTTTCTCAGATTTTGGTAAAAGTCAGAAACATAATTTAGAGATCCTAGAAACCTCTGGAGTTGACTTTTATCAAGAATTTGATCAGGGAATTTATCAGCAAATTGGATGACTCGATCAATTGGGGAGATATGTGACTGACAGATATTGAAACCAAGAAATCTGATATTGGTTTGGAATAACTTGATTTTCTTGGCAGAGACAACTAAACCATTTTGTTTGACAATTTGAAGAAACTTATGCAAATGTTTCCAATGCTGCTCTATAGACTCAGAGAAGATGAGAACATCATCAATATAGACAATTGAGAAATGACTATAAGGATTGAAAATTTCATTCATGATATTCTGGAATTCACTGGGAGCATTTTTCAGACCGAAAGGCATTACATTCCATTCATAATGACCAAAAGGGGTGACAAATGCAGTCTTATACCTATCTGACTCATGTATTTGGATTTGCCAAAAACCACTCTTCATATCTAATTTGGAATAAACAACTGCTTTTTCTAATCTATTAATCAGGTCTCTTTTATTAGGTATGGGGTACCTAATCCATTCTAAGACCGAATTAAGTGGCTTGTAATTGATAACTAATCTTGGGACTCCTCTTTCTAGCTCAGCATTTTTCTGGACATAAAAAGCAGGATACGACCAAGGGGACTTACTCTTGCGAATTATTTTCTTTTCTAGTAACTCATGAATTTCTTTTTTACAAAATTCCATTATTTCTTGACTCATCTGAATTGGCCTGGCTTTAGTAGGAATGTTTTTCTCACTAAAGGTTTTGATATAAGGAAGACAAACAACATGTTGTTTTCTATACCAAAAAGCATTAGGCAAATCAGAACAAATTTCATTTTTCAATTTAGTCTCAAACTGTTGAATTTGCAACTGTAAAGACTTATCACTAAGCTGTTGTTCAATTCTTTTGAATCTAATTTCGTCTTTAAGAAAATTCAACTGGTTATTTTTTCGAATAATTTGTACTGACTTAGAGACTGACTGTTTTTGCAGGGCTCTTAGATTATGCAACTCTGGTTTAGACAAAAACTCAAATTTAACCTTTTCCCCTAAATAAGTAGAGATGACACCATCATAGTCTACCTGAAAGGGATACAATAAAGCAATAAAAGGTAATCCTAATATGACTTCATCAGTAATATTTTTAACTAACACAAATGAGGTTTTGAAACAGATCTTATTTTGGCAACCATGGGCCTTTGGTATTTCAAAATTCAACTGGAGAGATTTTCCTGAAGCAGTACTTAAGGATTCTCTAGACTTCTGGTAAAACTTAGTAGGGATTAGACCTTCCTGGATACAGTTAAGATCGGCTCCTGAATCAAACAGGGCAACTGTGGTAAACTCAAAATTTTGGACAAATATTGTTACTTTTGAATACCATTTTCTAAAATTGACCTGTCGAATTAGGCTGACTACTTGTTGATCTTCTGGAAGTTCATCATCAGAATTATGTGGACTTCCAGACTGGCTTTTAGACTCAGAGGACTCTTTTTCCATTATGTGAATTAAATCTTGTTTAATTGCATAGTTTTCACTCTGTAATTTATGACTCATTTGTTTTAATTCAACTATTTCTTTTTTAACCATTTTTACTTCTAACTGTAGGTCTTGTAAGGTGACTTCTTTCTTTTTAGTAAATCTTTCTAAAGTAGTGTTTAAGCTAACCGGCTGGGGGGTAGACGGACTTGGGCTTTCTTGACTGATGACTTTTCTCAACTTTTTTAGATATTCAGATTTCAAATCAGGATTTTCAATTTTACTTATTAAGTCTATTAGTAATTCTTCTTGTTCTTCCTGTTTAGTGAGAACAGAAATGGACTTCAGACTATTACAACACTTATCTGTGCAACCAATTTGGATATTGGATGAACTAGACTGTGAATCCGAAGACTGACCAAAATCAGACTCAGAGCTAGCAACTAAGGTTTCAACATTGCTTGTTTCAAAGTCTCGCAACTCTAAAACATTTATCAACTTTTCTTTTTCTTCGTTTGTAATTTTTAACTGTTTAATGGTATCTTTTACCTTACATTCAGAGGCATAATGACCGAACTTTTGACATTTAAAACATTTAACTTTAGTTTTATCATTATTCTTCTTGGACCGATGTTTCTTTTGATCTTTCGGGGCTTTTGACCAATTTTTCTTAGGAGAGAATTTTCTTTTCTTATAAAATTCACGATCATCATTATTTTGTTGGGAGAATTGTTTCCTACGGGAATAATGACGATTTTTTCGGAAATGACTAGGCTTATTTTTTCTGGAAGGAGGAATACTGGCAAGACCATACTGTTCGCAGAAATTGCCTAACTCATATTTGGCTGATTTCCTATCGGACTGTATTTGTTTACCAATCTTAAAATCAATACACATTTTCATTCCAACTTGGTTAATTGTACTTATAATATTTCCATAAGTCAAACTATCCCAATCTATATGACCTTGCTCATTACTTAAGGTTGTGCGTATTTTATGGGCAAATAAATTCGGAAGACCATTAACAAATTTCTTTCCAGAAGGGCTGATTACTATCATCTCTAAGCATGACTCTAGAAATGAAAACATCTTTGTACCATCTGAAATCAGACAACTTGGGGCATCTAAGATTGCTCAGCTGATCATGAATCCTAGCAGTGGTATTGCTAGGGGTTCCAATGAAGTGCTCAATTATTGTGTAAAACAAAGTGTTGACATCGTTTTCTATACCTTGACCTACTTGTTCGTCAAATATAGGGAGGCCATCTTCATTAAGTTTTACAGCATGTATGATCAAGTTTTTAGACTCAAGGGTTAAATGTTTATCCCACCAATACCTGAGAGTACCAGTAAATCCGGTAACTAACAAGGGAACAATTTCAGATTGTCTGAAACTATGATTGGTGATATAGCTATTGGCAACCATGGACATATGTTGTAATTTATTAAAAATTTCTTGCTCAGACAGACCATCAATATTCCATTCATACAATTATCAGAAGAAACTGAAAACTGGGTTTGGAGGTTTCTTTCTTCAAATTGAATGTCTGGGGGTGTAGGTCTAGGGTACCAATTTCTGGTTAAACTAGTAGGGCTTATATGTTTTTCTAATTTTTTGACTTTGGGTTCAATTTGGACTTCTAAGTTTCTGAAAGCATTTTCAATTTTTGAAATATTGCTGGTTTCAGAATCTGTTGTTCCTGACTCAGATTCAGTAGGATTAGTAAAAGAATCTAGTGTTTTAAGACCAGATTTTGCAGCTTTACTTGGGGTCAACTGTTCTAACATTTCCTCAATTTTCATCATTGTAGGTTTAATTTTAAGCTTAGGGCTTGACTGAAGATCCTGGAACTAGACTATCGGCTTTTCAACTTTTGTTTTAGATTTAATTTCTGGGGAACCTATCTTATCAATTTTTGTCTCAATTGTATCTAGCTGTTTGCCTATGACAATTAGACTTTGGTTGGTATAATTATTTTGCTCAATTATCCTTTTACTTTCATATATATATATATATATATATATATATATATACACAAGAGAATCAGACAATGAAGGAAAAGAAGCAACTCTCACCACTTTGGTTGTTGAGAATTCAGATGATGCAAACTTCAAAGTCATAGACCTTTTTGCCAACAAGAAGATTTTTTTTGCTATTCTACTTAGTTAATCTCAATATCCATGCGTGGTGCAATTTAAAGAAGCTAAAGGCCATTAAAGCTCCTGGTAGTGCTAGGGTTTCTTATTCCTAGTTTAGGAAAATATTGAATTTTGTATCTTGCTTCCCAAGATCTTACCAATTTTGATATTATTAAGCTTAATAATATCAACCAAAAAGAAAAAAAGTGTCTTGCCATCAGCTTTAACTACGTACAATTCCATGATTGGAGTCTTGCCAACCACGTCTACAGTGCCATGAAGGGGGCATGGGCATAACCAAAGGATGAATGTCATCTCATACACGATTCCAACATACCCAAAAAAAGAAAAAGAAAAAAAAAGGGGTAACTTTTAAAACTCCGTGTTGGAAGCAATCCAAATTATTGGAAAGAAATGAAAAAGTAACACTTCAAGCTGCACCTCCTACATGTGACAAAGCACATATTTACAGTGCATCATGAAGTGGGGGCAATTCGTAGACAAAGAAATTTTGGTGAATTAAATTCCACTAAATAAGAAAATAATTAGGGTTTGGTGGATTAAATTATGGGCCCCATAATTCGCCCATGTGGCATATGACTCATCAAAATTGGATTAGTTGTCAAAAGTGACACGTGTTGACATCCGAAGGATTGCATCAAGCGGTTCAAAGTGAAGACAAAATTAAGAGAAATAATCTTCTGTAATTGAGTTTGATTTAAATCAAATATTAATGAAGTCAATCAATCGAAGATAATTTGGTTAAATTGCCAAATTATTGGAGTTGATTTTAAAATCAAATCAGAATTCCACAAAGTAAGGTTTTAAAGAGGGAAAGTTATTTAGGTCATGCATCCTGTAGGAGCCAATAAATAGGAGGCCTCAAGATGAGAAAAGGGGCTTAGCTAGACCAAGCATTCAGAAGAAACAGAAAACTCTCTGCATTCTTCACCTCACTTTGGAAGAGCCACCAAGCACAACAAATACGTGCCAGTTCCTCTACCCTAGAAAAATCCAAACACCAAATAAGCCTTGTGCTACCCGTTTGATCAAGATCAAGTCTCTACGACCCTTGTATCAAACACAAATTTTCTTTAAACACTTTGGAGATTGAATTAGAGGATTCAATACAGAGATTGTAACCCTAAATTTCATTAATACAATATTATTTTATACACGTGTTCTTGTCTCTTTTGTCGCAAGATTTTCGTGTTTGCAGTAATGTAATTAAACTCGTAAGTATCACCCATAATTAATTTGAGATTACTAAAATTTTATTGTCAACAAGATTATTCCGGCGTTCAACTGTTCAACGAATTGATATGTCCTCCATGTTCATGTAGATTCACAATCAGTAGTCAGAAGAAAAGTCAACATCGTTAATTAACCTAATGCACGGGCTTCGGGTTTTTTGGTTGCTGCCGAAGCTAAGAAGGGGAGGGGTGAAACTCAAACGTACAGGTACGTTGGAGGCTTAAACTCAGAATCACTTAGAAGTACATCAAACACTTGAGCCAATCCTCCAACTTGAGTTTAACCCCAAACAATTAGCGTGTCACGACACCTTGACAAAGGCATTTTGTTCCTGTCCATTTGTCCCGAAAACCCAACTAACAAATCCACTCACACCCATAATATTTAAATTAGAATATCAGAATACAACATCTTCTTCCACTACTACAAAATAACCCTTGAGCGACCAAATTTTGCACGACGAAAAATTATTCGTCGCTCAAAGTCACTTTGTGCGACGAAACTCAAAACTTTGTCGCTAAAAACCTTGCGCAACGAAAAATAATTCGTCGCTCAATGTGACTTTGCGCGACCAACTTTTGCGCAACGATAATACGTCGTCACGCAAAGTCTTGCGCGACCAAATTTGGCGCGGCGAAAAAAAATTCGTCGCACAAAGTCGCTTTGAGCGACAGAAAAAAATTCGTCGTGCAAAGCGCCTTTGCGCGACGAAAAACAATTAGTCGCTCAAAGCTACTTCGTGCGATGAAAATCAATTCATCGCGCAGAGCTACTTTGAGCGACGAAACAACAAAACTTCATCGCGCAAAGTCCTTATAAAATAAAAAAAAATTTTAAATCTTTGTTAGAAAAATATATTATTGTTGTTTGGATTGGGTTTTTGTTAGAAAATATATTTTTTAAATTGACGATTGAATTAGTTCATTGTATTCATATAGGGTCAAAGAGTGTAGCTATAAAAAATCATCAAAATCGGAGTTAAAATAACCGTTAAATCGTGATTTTTCATTTATAACCGTCGAAAAGTTATGTCCCATTTCTTGATCTCTGAATGTTTATTTTTTCCGATTTTTGGCATATATGATCTCGAAGTATAAACAAACAAGTTTGACGGTTGGATCGTTGAAACTAGTTTCGTAGAATGTGTATGCCATCAAAACAATATATTCACTAACAATTAAGAGTTTATTTATACTTTTGTTAAATATAACATAAGATTTTGTGGTATCCACTAGTGTAAATATTCTAAATTGAATATCAAATTCAGTCATTGTATTCATATAGGGTAAAGAAGTGTAACGGTAAAAAATCATCAAAATCGGAGTTAAAATAACCGTTAAATCATGATTTTTCATTTATAACCGTCAAAAGTTTGGTCCCGTTACTTGATCTCTGAATGTTTATTTTTTCCGATTTTTGGCGTATATGATCTGAAAGTATAAACAAACAAGTTTGACGGTTGGATTGTTCAAACTAGTTTCGTAGAATGCGTATGCCATCAAAACAATATATTCACTAACAATTAAGAGTTTATTTATACTTTTGTTAAATATAACATAAGATTTTGTGGTATCCACTAGTGTAAATATTCTAAATTGAAGATCAAATTCAGTCATTGTATTCATATAGGGTAAAGGAGTGTAGCGGTAAAAAATTATCAAAATCAGAGTTAAAATAACCGTTAAATCATGATTTTTCATTTATAACCGTCGAAAAGTTTGTCCCGTTACTTGATCTCTGAATGTTTATTTTTTCCGATTTTTGGTGTATATAATCTGAAAGTATAAACAAACAAGTTTGACGGTTGGATCGTTCAAACTAGTTTCATAGAATGTGTATGCCATCAAAACAATATATTCACTAACAATTAAGAGTTTATTTATAGTTTTGTTAAATATAACATAAGATTTTGTGGTATTTACTAGTGTAAATATTTTAAATTGAAGATCGAATTAGTTCATTGTATTCATATAAGGTCAAGGAGTGTAGCTGTAAAAAATCGTTAAAATCGGAGTTAAAATAACCGTTAAATAGTGATTTTTCATTTAGAATCGTTGAAATGTTTTGTCCCGTTACTGGGTCTCCGATTTTAATGTTTTTTGCGATTTTTGGTGTATACGATCTTGAAGTATATGCAAACAAGTCTAACGGTTGGATCGTTGAATGGTGTGTGTATATATATTTATTTACTTATTAAGTAGCTTTAAATTTATTTATTTTGTACGTATAACACTTAAGAAATTGGTATATACATTTATTAAGTAGCTTTAACCTTATTTATATTTTAAATCGTGAAAAAAAATAATTTCATTTTTTATTATTCATAACAATTATTTTTATAAATATCGTGCTACGAACCAATTTTTCGTCTCTCAAAAGTTTGCGAGGCCAACAATTCGTCGCGCAAAACTCTAAAAATTTGGGCGGGTACCAAAAATGGGACGCGGGATTTAAAAAAAAATTTAGACTTTGCGCGACCAATATTTTGTGTCGCTCAAAACTTTGCGCGACCAATATATATTTTCCGTCACCCAAAAATTTGGCGGGTACCAAAAATGGGACGCGGGAATTTTTTTATATAATTTTTTTAGACTTCGCGCGACCAATATGTATTTTTTGTCGCGCAAAAATTTCAAAATTTGGGCGGGTACCAAAAATGGGACACGGGTTTTTTTTTTTTTTTTTTTTTTTTGACCAATATACCTAATATTCGTCGCGCAAAACTTTGCGCGACCAATTTTTTTCGTCGCGCAAAACTTTGCGCGACCAACAACATCGTTCGTCGCGCAAAGTGATACCGTTTTTAAAATGAAAATAACTCCACCATTTTCTCAATGTCTTTCTCTACTCTTACCTCTACTCTCTCTTTCCCTCTCCCCAAATCCCACTATTTCTCCCACACTCACTCCTCTCACTTAATCTCTCATCATCTCTCTCTTCATTATCTCTCACTCTCACTCACTCTCTCATCTCTCTTTTCACTATCTCTCACTCTCACTCACTCTCTCATCTCTCTATCACTATCTTCTCTAATTATCTCACACTCACTTCTCTCTCTCATTCTCACTCACTCTCAATCTTGCCAAAAGGTAGATTCTCTCCAAATTTTAAATTTTTTTTCATTAATATGTGTTTTTGGAGTTAGTTTTGAGTTTGTGTGGGGTTTGGGGTTGAGTAAAGGGGAGGGATTGGAGTTTGGGTTGGATTTGTTGTATAACAATTTTAGGGGAGATTATCCCTTTTTTTTATTTTTTATTGTACTTTGTTAATTTATGTGTACATTTTGAATATTATATATATATATATTTATTGGATAATTTGATCACTATTTTTTCATATGTAATTTTATTTTGAATATGTCAATTTAAATTAAAGTAATTAAATTAAATTTAAAAAGTAAAAATTTGAATAAATCAATATAATTAAATAAATATCAATTTAAATTAAAGTAACGAAAAAGATCATACAATTAAATTAAATTTAAAAAGTAAAAATTTGAAATAATTAATATAATTAAATTAATATTAAAGAAATAATAAAACAAGTCAAAAACCAAAATATTTTGTCGCGCAAATAGTTAATATAATTAAATTAATATTTCGTTATGCAAAAATTCGAAATAATTAATGTAAAATCAAAATAATAAAACAAAAAGTCAAAAACCGAAATATTTTGTTTTTAATTTTTTCGTCGCGCAAAACTTTGCGGGACAAATATTTTTTCATCGCGCAAAGTCGCTTTGCGCGACCAATATTTTCGTCGCACAAAGTCACTTTGCGAGACCAATGTTTTTCGTCACGCAAAGTCACTTTGCGCGACCAATATTTTTTCGTCGAATCTGCACGACGAAGTTTCTGTCGCGCTAAAATTTGTGCGACTACAATGTATTTTGCGCGACGAAATTCTTTTCGTCGCGCAAAGTGTAAAATGTAGTAGTGTTCTTAATAATCAAATCCAACATGAACTATATTTTAGGGTTACATAACGATGCCAACCTCGAACGACCGAGCTTACTTTATTAGTTTTTCTTAACTTTGAGACATCTTTCGGAGTACAAGTAGAATACCAGAACAACAAAAATAACATTAAATCCCAGAAAAAGAACATACAAGAAGAAAAGGGTTCATGTCCACCTTGTGCCAACCCAATATTAAAATGTGGTTGGTATCCAGTTAATTATTATAACGAACAAAGGTTAGTAGCAAATAATGTTTGCGTGGAGAAGAAGAAAAAGGTTAGTAGCAAATAACATGATACAATCTGTCTCTGGTCATTCTTTATTGAGGGTCGAGTCTCACGTTCACACCCGCAGAACAAAACAGAAACTGGTACCAAACTTCACCGTTTCGTCATTGTGTAAGTTTGTGTTGCTGTGATGTCTATATATTTATCTATAGCTCTCACCTGCATGCCACTGTGAAACATGAAGCCGCATCAAATCAAACCCATCTGCATTTCTTCTTTACTCTTCTTTTCACTTCTATTCTCACATTACAGTACATCAGTCGAAGCTCAGGAAGTTGGCAAGTACAATGAGATTAATTACATACATACATATTCTTATTTTCTTATTTTCTTTTTTGTGGAAAAGGAAAAAAAATAATCAATCATATTCATGTATATGTTGTGCATATTGCAGAGGATGAAAGAGAGTTCGATTATCTTCAGGGAAGCGGAAAGGGGCCGAAGCAGTGGGGAGAGATGAAGAAGGAATGGGCCGCGTGTAAAAATGGAGTCATGCAATCTCCTATTGATTTATCAAGTCAGAGAGTCAAGCTAATCCCAAACTTGGGCAAACTCAACACCACTTACAAGCCTTGTAATGCCACTGTCAAGAATAGAGGCCATGATATTTCGGTAATTTTACAATAATTTTTTTATTTCATCACGTAAAATTAATGTATCTTAATTATTATTTTTGATGTGTAAGTGTGCGCGCGCGCGCAGATGGAGTGGATGGGCAACGCTGGATCAATTCAGATAAATGGGACTGAGTATTTGCTGAAACAATGTCACTGGCACTCACCTTCAGAGCATTCCATAAACGGCAGGAGGAATGCCATGGAGCTCCACATGGTTCATCTCAGTCTCGAAACCAACGTCACAAACAAGATCGCTGTAGTTGGTGTGCTCTACAAGATCGGTCGTGCCAATTCTTTCCTCTCTAAGGTACTCAAGCGGAGTCAAATTATTAACTCCACAATGTTTTGTTGCCATACTTATATTGTCAGATAAAAATCAACCTAATCAATAGTTCAGATTCATAGACCAATAGCAAAATATTTGACCCAACTCATAACTACGTATAAGATACATGTCTTATGAAAAATACTACTATAACATTATTGATCAAATAGACTAACATATTGCAAGATTGTGAATTAATCTCTCAGTTGACGAGGGATGTAAAATCCACGACTGATCAAAAGGATAAGAGAAACATGGGGATGATTGATCCTAGAAAGACTAAAATTGGTGGGAAAAACTATTACAGATACATGGGCTCACTCACCGTTCCTCCTTGCACTGAAGGCGTTATTTGGATCATCAATAAAAAGGTAATTAATTGCTCCTCCTAAAGGGTCTCGAGTTTGGACCATATGTACATATCTTTTCATTTTAATTTGGACCATCAATAAAAATATGTGACCCTTTGCCAAACTTTAAATTGCCCATATGCAGATAAGAACAGTCTCAAGGGATCAAGTAAAGCTATTTCGATTCGCTGTGCATGATGTAAGTGATTCAACTACATCTCTACTCTTTTCTTCGTCTCCCACCACAAGAAAAAAAAGAAAGTATATTCATACATATTGTCTCTAATCTTTGGTTATTAAATTGATTGCAGTATGCAGAGATGAATGCAAGGCCAGTACAACCACTTAACCTTCGAGAGATCCAGGTCTATGACCGAAACGCAAGGAGCACAAATAACTAGCAGAGAGTTTAACCTCAGTACTACATTTGTTATTTTTTTGAAGCAACATTCTTTGGAATTACTATTGCTTTCCCACTTGCCTAAAATGATGACAAAGAGGTGCATGTTGAGCTAGCAGAGTTAATTAATCAGCATGCAGCTTGCTTTATACTAAACTTTGCTGGGAGGCGCCCTCATTTGTACGACATATTAATTGTCATGGTTTTTCTTTCTCTTTAAGGGAATTTACCCTTTTTTTTTGTCTCTCTTTGATTTATATATATAGTGTTTACCCTAAAATCGTCTTAGCCCTAGCAATAGGCTAAGAAAGTGTTGTCTGAGCGTGCCACTATTAGTACTACAACGAACCTAATCAAAATATAAATAAAAGAAAATTTGCGTCTCAAGTAACCTGAATTTCAAACAAACCACTATACTCTGAGTGTTTGCAATCCCAAAGTTTTTTTTTAAAAATAAAAAAAATATATAATTTTGTTGAACTTTCATATTTTTTCATAGCTGGCTCGAATTGATTCTTTTCTGCTGAGATTATAAATTCTTAGGATAGAAGTTGGTAGTTCTGCATTTGATTCATATTTTAGGATGTTCTGTTTCTAGTATTAAAGGGCGTTGTATCAGCAGCAGTAGAAGGTAAGAAGAAAGAATCTCAATAACCCAATGTTTTGCAGAAAAAAAATCCCCAATATATTCTCCATATTCTGTTTTTCCGCTCGCAGACCCAACGTGGCCTCTAGACCACTAAACGACGTAGGTGGTTGGTTGGTTCACTGTCACAAAATAATTTACTTCGAACTTCTTTCAACGTATTGAAGCTGATCGAGCATGCTTCTCTTGACTTTTCCACATGGTTCTTACTTTCTTTTTTTCTACGATGTATTACAGACTAACGAATATCTTCTATCAACAAATTCCTAGTTCGGCTACCTACCTGTCAATTAAATATCTTATTCTGCATCGGATATTTCTAATTCCGTAATTAGACCTTGTTCGGCTACCTACTAGGCTAAACTATTAGTTAAATATGAACCAAGGGATGCTGACCTCGGATATTCTATGAATAAAATTTTGCGTGGTTCATGCTGCACTAGTAAAAAATATCAATGGGTATGGACATTGGTGTCTACAAAAGTGATTTGTATTGATAGTTTTGGTTTAGGAGAAAAACTTATCTGACACGGATGGGTAGCTCTGGGGTGGTGCAAGTGGTGCCACCGCACAGGGCCCTTGAAAAAAAAATTTATTTACATTATATATTTTAAAATTATAGGAATAGCGTGCTGCATATTATCACAAAAGTGTGTGTGGCGGAGCTGCCTTTGTAGCGCACATTTGTTAATAGAAGGGCCCGTATTTGAGTCTCATTGAAGTCATTTTACCCGTGTTAATTATTATTTTTGCATTATAACAACAATTTTTAAATAATTATAAATAAAAAACGAAAACACGTTAATTTTTTTAAATAATTATAAATGAGAGACATAAACACCTTTAAAAAGGAAAACATCAAACTAAGCTAACCAACATTATATATATCCTCCCTATTCTTCTTCAGAAAGAATAAAAAAACGTTTTCTCCTCCAAAAAAGTACTTTCTTCCATTGTAAAAAAAAAGACAAACTTCAAGGCTTCTTCTTTCTCTTAAACTCTGATTTTCTGGTAAGTAATCATCATCATTCATCAATCTCTCTTTGGTTCATTTTTTCAATCATTTGACAATTTTTGTCACAAGAAAGATTAAACAAACTAGCTATGATTTCAATTGGAAGTGAACTTTTAGAAAAACTTGATTATGAACATTTGGTTGATGATTTTTCTTCTAAAAAGTCAAGATCAATTTTCAAACATTAAGTATTGTACTAGTTGTTTTTTTTTCTTTTGGGGAAAAAACTCTTGTAATAGTTTTAATTCTTCAAATAAAGATTACAAATACAATGTGAATGATTTTTGGATAGTAAGGTATGTTTTTGTCATTACATGTTTATTGATGATGACTTTTAGGGCTCGTGTGGTACGTCGGACTATACTGATTAATTTCTGTCGGATAATATTAATATGTTTCGGAGAGTACTGATTGTTTATGCATAATATTATAAGGCGTTTAGTGTTGTTTCAGATAAATAGCCTGACTAAGTTATACTGTATTTGGTGTTGTTCTGGATAACATCATATCAAACTTTTTTTAAGAATAAAAATAAAAATTCTTTGATAATTTAATGAAAACTTAAATTCATACGGAAAGGGAGTAATTTAGTGGGAAGTTAAAAGGGCTTTTAATTTAATCTCTCTTTGGTTCATTTTTTTCAATCATTTGACAATTTTTGTCACAAGAAAGATTAAACAGACTAGCTCTTATTTCAATTGGAAGTGAATTTCTAGAAAAACTTAATTATGAACATTTGATTGATGATTTCTCTTCTAAAAAGTCAAAATCAATTTGCAAACATTAAGTATTGTACTAGTTTTTTTTTGGGTGCTTTAGTTTTAAAACACAATATAGTTTACTAATTTGGAATATAGGAATACAATTTCATCTAATTAGCATAAGGCCAAAGACCAAATGTAATACCTAATTTTACAAAAGTATCATTAAAAAATATCAAAATTACACACAATGCCACTCCTTCTAAGGCAAGCATACTATGCCACATGTCCATATCTAGCCACCACCCCGACCAGCCACCACCGCCCACCACTGCCGGCAAGCCACCACCGGTCAACCGCCCCAGCCAACACCGCCGACCAATCGCCGTCGCCGGCCTCCACCGCCTGTAGGGGACCAACTCCATTGCCCTTTATTCACATTTAAAAATAAAAATAAAAGATTTTGTGTCATTGAAGGGACTCGAACCTTGACCCTCAAAGGAGGAAGGCTCACTCACAAACCACTACACCAAACTTGATTTTGTAATATTTATTCAGTTATATAATATTTATATAAATAACCAATGGGTTTAAAAAAAAATAAAAATAAAAATCATTTCAACACATATTCACACAAAAACTGCAAACAAAAACAGAAACTGCAACAAAAATACAGTATAGATATTAATTATGTTAAAAAAAACAAAAACGAAAATGAAAACAGCTACAAAAAAACTAAAAGTAATTTTATCGAAGCAAAATGGAGGAACCAAGATGAAAGTAGTAAAATGGAAACTGCGATGATGGGGAACAGACATATCCAATATGAGTGAGCGGAAAACTTCAAGCAATTGTCGGTTCTTCCTTTCAGACACAACATTTTCTTGAGGGGTAAAAGGAGTTGTCGTCTGGTAAATAATACTTTGAGCACAGAAGAAACATGCCAAAGTATTATTCACATATTTTCCTCCGTTATCGGTCCGGAATACTTTGACTCGAGCATGAAACTGAGTAGACACTATAGTACAAAACTCTGGAAAGATGGAAGCAACATCATGTCTATTTTCAGCAAAAAAACCCAAGTGAATTGGGTACAATCATCAATAAATGTGATGAGCCAACGAAAACCATTCGAAGTAACGTGAGTCGGACCCCACACATCAGAATGCACTAAATCAAAAGACTTGGCAACTTTATTGTCACTTAAACGAAATACACTGCGATGACTCTTCGCCAAAATACATGTCTCACACTTAAAACTGGACTCATCACAAGACCAGAATAAAGATGGAAATGGAGGCTTAAGGTAGCCAAATGACGGGTGTCCAAGTGATGATGCCATAACCAAATTTGTTGTTTGTCTTTGGCAATGCAACTTTGAACAGTATTAACTACACAATCACGAACTAGTCCAACATGCAATATCAAATTATATCACCCCCATATCCATTTACCATGCCCAACTGTCTCGTGAGTCTTGAGATCCTGAAAAGAGCAATGTGTATGATATAAAGTAGCAGAAGCATTAAGTGTATCAAGTAATTGACCATCAGATAACAAGTTACAATGGATATTGGGAACAAGTGATTAGAGAGGGCAAGCCATTAACACTTGTTATATATGGGTCATGGGTGTTACCAGGCAACTCATCAAAAAATTTAGTATTATAAGTCATATGATCAGTAGCACTAGTTTCAATTATCAAAGTATTGGAGCCAATACAATACTTTGAATAGAGTTAGAAACACACAAATTTGCAGAAGCATCAGCAACATCACCAACAATGGAGTTATCACCCATGATTGCAGTGGAAACTCAGCCGATCACAATAAAGTACACATAGCGGAACACAGCACAGGCACAAATATGGCAGATGCACGAAGACGAGAATGACACAAACACTACAACACAACACACAAACCCATGAGGGCACACATGGCACAGTAGGAAAAAAAAATGGGGCTAGAACACGGGTGGGCACAACACACAGGTTTTTTATGCAAATAATCTCATGGGAGAATATTTGCTTCTAGATCCTTCAACCTTCGATCTTCCTTCTCTCTCTTCCTCGTTTCCTGTAAAAAAATATTGGAGTAAATAGACCACACCCAGGGGGTGTTGGCCAAAGGCCCTCCGATGCCTAAGTTAGTTCGAGTGTTTGTAGGAAAACAATAGCTACGGAGTTGTATGTATGGTGTGAACTGGGCGGCCGGAGCCATGTGCGGCGACCGAAGCCGTGTGGAGAAAATATGGAGAGTGGAGAGGGAGAGAGAGCTTTAGGTATTTTTCTCGGGTTTAGGAGTAGGTTTAGATGTACCTTCAATGATGAATGAGGTCGTCTATTCATAGGAGCCTCGGGGCTAGGGTTTCGTAGAGAATATGATGAGTTTATTCTCTACCCAAATTCGTAGGGATCCAGTCGGGCTTGATTATATCTCTTTATTGAAGATAATATTTGATTTAATGTTATTATCTTCTCTTTATTAAGATAATATCTAAATTAACGATATTATCTTCTCTTTATTAGGATAATATCTAAATTAATGATATTATCTTATGAAATAAAGATAATATCCTATTAATTAAGATATTTATCCCTATTAATTAATTGGCCAGATAAACTGGTTCAATTAATTAATTTAAGAGATAATCTTCTTTTCCACGTGGTGTGCTGTGATTGGAGACGGAAATATTTACTCCCACAAATGCCCCCAGCTTTTGTATGGCGCTTGCGTGGCAGCATGTAGGAGATGAAATTATTTTTCGGGCTTCCCAACTGTATCTGGGCTTTATTCTATGTAGGAATGAGCTTGTTATTCCTCCTTGACCTGGGTTGTCCAACTTGCATAAATCTCTTCACTCTTTCTCACATCGCAAACTTAACTTCTCTACTTTCTAGCTTGAGAAAGATCTTGGAGAATTTTGTATTGCTTATAGAAGAAAGGAGTTGTCGTGCATCCCAAAGTAAGTCGAGCACATAAATTTTTTCTTTGTCTTCATTGAGTAAGAAACCAAATCTCCCTTCAGCTAAGAAGACCCAAGTAGGAGTTATTCCCGTGTCATCTGCCAAGGTCAAACATCTTGTTGGTGCATATAGCAAGAAGATTGACGGTATGCTCAACATTAGGGATGTTCCCCTTAAGTCTCTTGTTGATGAGTTTGGAGATCATGATCTGCTCCGCGAAGTAGTCCGTGCGTGATCTAGCTCACCCGTTAAGAAGCAAAGAGGTACAGATGCTTATCTCCGAAGTTTGGGTCGTCTGCATCAGTCGAAGAGTGGAAGTCGATCTGGGCGGTCTGCTCATCCATCTAACCATCATGTTTCAGTTGCTGAGTCACGAGCAGTCAAGCGTGGAGTGGCTTCGTCGTCACCAATTCCTTTGGAAGTGAGGTTGGTAGAGGCTAGGAAATCAAGAAAGTCATTTGCCCGAGCGAAGGGCTCTTCTGCAACGTCAACGGCTGATCCCAAGGTGGAAAAGTCCACCTCTGCAGGAGATGCAGGCTTGTCTGATCTGCTCAAGATGAACTTTCTGTTAAGTCCATCCACTTGTGCTGAGTTTGTTGACTAAATCTGTCAGGTTGGCGATCTTGGTACTTTCTTAAGTCTTTCATAGGAAAAACAAAGGGAAAGCAACATTTCATCTCCTTCAAAAAAGAAGTGGTGGCAGACGTGGCGGATCAGGCAAGTGGAGCTGCTGAGAGTGTGGCTGATCAGGTGAATGCTGAAGAGTCCGCAGATTAAGGATCTCCTGCTGGCGTCTCGAAGTAGATGAAGACTCATTTATTTCTTTTAAGCTTTTGTAGTCTGCTCTTTGTTTAGAATAATTGGTCTTGCTTGACCATATTCTTTTGAACTTGGCCGGTTGATCACTTTACTATGGAAATTTCAGTTATTTTTTCAACTTCAATTTGCATGTTGTCTTGTGAACTGCTTGAGTAACCGGCTAGTGTATTGGTTGTACATTTCCCTTAGGATTTTGGCAAAAGCCAGGGTCCCCCTTGAGGGACTCCCAGCATATTCTACATTTTCCAGAGAACATTTAAAACGCTTCTGGTCGTTGCCATGCATCTCCCTTAGGACGTTGCTTATGGACAATTATATGACTATCCTACTCCCCTTAGGAAATGGATAGGAACCTGGATACCTCACTTAGGAAATTCCTGGCACACCCTGCGGCTCCCTTAGGATACTACTTTGCAGGCTGCGTCTCCCGAATGACGCTTCTGGTTATCGCCTTGCGTCTTTCTTAGGACGCTTTTTATGGGTAACTGTTTGACTATCCTACCCCCTTAGGAAATGGATAGGAACCTGTATATTTCCATCAGGAAGCATGGTGACCTCATTTTAAGAAATTCTTGGCACACCCTACGTCTTCCTTAGGACGCTGCTTTGCGGGCTGCATCTCCCGAAGGACGCTTCTGGTCGTCGCCCTGCGTCTCCCTTAGGACGCTTTTTATGGGCAACTGTATGACTATCCTGCTCCTTTTAGGAAACGGATAGGAACCTGGATACTTCCCTTAGGAAATTCCTGGCGCACCTTGCGTCTCCCTTAGGACACTTCTTTGCAAGCTGCGTCTCCCGAAGGACACTTCTAGTTGTCGCCCTGTGTCTCCCGAAGGACGCCGCTTATGGGCAACCGTCTTTTGTTGTGGCACATTCTGGAATTTGCAGTAGTTGCTTCTCTTCTTCAGAAATGTGCAGTACTCAATTATCTGCTGGGGATTGAACAGGTAGGAGGAAACATCATGGATAGTATCTTTGGAAGTGGTAGGCGTTCCATTATCGCGGAATCTCCTTCCCTTCCATGGTGTTAAGCATATAGCTTCCTTTGCCCCCGGACCGGCTGATTACGTAAAGGCCTTCCCAATTGGGTTTTATCTTTTTAGACCCTTGTCTTTGTGCAGTGATGAAGGCCTTTCTTAGCACAAAGTCGCCTAGTTGAAACTGTCTGATCTTGGCTCTTTTGTCATAGTAAGACTTCAACCGCTGTTGATAGGAGGCGACTCGGACAATGGTCTTCTCTCGTTCGCCTTCAAGTAAGTCAAGGTTAAGTCTCATTTGCTCGGAGTTCTGCTCAATACTGCCCACTTCAATGCTTATAGAGGGGACAGTAACGTGAGGAGGAATGATTGCTTCTATTCCATAGGTGAGGGAAAATGGGGTTTCGCCAGTTGATCTATGCTTGGTGGTGCGATAAGCCCATATTACTCCAAGGAGCTCATTTACCCATTTTCCTTCGGCACCTTCTAATCTCTTCTTTAGACAGTCCAATATTATTTTATTGGATGCATCGGCTTGGCCGTTGCCCTGAGGATATTTCGGGATAGAGATTTGGCCTTGATCCATTTAGTAATGTAATCAGTGGCGACGATTATCATTTCTTTCTTGACAGGTACCGTTGGCATGGGGCCTACTAAGTCCATGGCCCATTGCATGAAAGGACACGGACTGTTCTACGGATGGTAGATTTTGGTAGGCAAGTTAGGAACTGGTTTGTATCGTTGGCAGTGATCACATCTTTTGACATATTCAGTGGAGTCATGGCGCATAGTAGGCCAAAAATAGCCTACGTTTAGAGCCTTCTGGGCGAGTGACCTGCCCCCAGAGTAGTTGCCACACTCGCCGTCATGAATTTTGTAGAGGACCTTAAGTGTTTGAGGGTATTTTATGCAAGTGAGATGAGGGCTGGAGTATGATATGCGAATGAGCTTGTCGCCCTGCATGTAGTATCTCGCGGCTTTCTACTGAACCTTCTTAGCTTCGGACTTATCTGTTGGCAGATTTCCATTCATTAAGTAGTCGATGATGGGATCTTGCCAACTGGGGTCTTCATCGATCTGCATTGAGTCGATTGGCTCTATTTCTTCAATGCTTGGCCGGTCAAGGTGTTCGACCAGGATGAAGCGTCTGAATTGGGTGTCCAGCGCTGATCCTAGGCTCACCAACGCATCTGTATGAGTGTTCTCTGTCCATGGAACTTGTTGGATGGTGAAAGTAGGGAATTCTTTCAAAAGTCCTTAGACTTTGTCGAGGTACTGAACCATTCTTGGATGTTTTGCCATGTATTCGCCTGAGGCTTGATTCGTGATCAACTGGGAGTCTGAGTAGATGGCCAATCTCTTGATCGACAGTTCTTTTGCTAGGCGCAGTCCTGCGAGCAATGCCTCATATTCTGCCTCGTTGTTTGAAGCAAAAAAGCCTAGTGTGATGGCTTGTTCCAACAAAGTTCCGTCTGGGGTGATTATAGCGATGCCTACCCCTGCTTCTTTGTGATTTGATGCTCCGTCTACATGCAACTACCACATGTCGTTAGGTAGGTTCGAATCAGTAGGGGAGGTGTCGTCTGCTTTTTCCTTGCTTTTCGTGACCATTTTCTCTTCTTCGGTTGTCGGAGTAAACTCTACAACAAAATCTGCTAAAACTTGGGCTTTTGTAGCAGTCTTCGGCCGGTAGAGTTGGTCGTATTGACTGAGTTCGATAGCCCATTTCATGAGTCGCTGAGAAGCGTAGGGGCTGTGAAGGATCGATCTCAAAGGAAATTCTATCATGACAATTATCCGGTGTGCTTGATAGTAAGGCCTTAGTTTTCTTGCGAAAATCACAAGTGAAAAGATGAGCTTCTCCATTTTTGGATAGCGAGTCTCTGCATCGAGGAGAGCTTTTGAAGTGTAGAATATCAGATGTTGTGCCCCTAGCTCTTCTCGAATGAGAGCTGAGCTGACAGCTGAGTCGGACACCGCCAGGTAGATGTACAAGTCTTTGCCTGGTATCGATTTTGAGAGTAAATGAGGTGAAGTGAGGTAGGTTTTCAAGTTTTGAAAAACTAGTTCACACTCGTTATCCTACTTGTCTTTGTGTCCTTTCTTCAAGGCTTTGAAGAATGGCCTGCACTTGTCGGTAGATCTTAAGAGGAATCGGTTAAGAGCCGCTGCCTTACCCCTCAGACTTTGTATCTCCTTTGTTGTGGCAGGTGACTTCATGTCGCGTATAGCCTTGATTTGATTTGGATGTGCCTCAATTCCTCTTTGGGTGAATAAATATCTAAGGAATCGACCAGACAAGACTCCAAATGTGCATGTGCTCGGGTTCAACTTCATGTTGTATTTTCGGAGTAGGCTGAAGGCCTCGGCAAGGTTCTCGATGGGGTCTGCTCACTTCGGAGCTTTGACTAGCATGTCGTCTACGTAGACCTCCATAGTCTTGCTGATTTGCTCCTTGAAAATTTTGTTCACCAGCCTTTGGTAGATTGCTCTGGCGTTCTTCAACCTAAAGGGCACTTTGTAGCAATATGTACCTCTTTTGATGATGAAGAAGGTCTTTGCCTTGTCGTCTTCATTCATCATGATTTGGTTGTAGCCGGAGCAGGCATCCATGAAGCTTAGCAGTTGATTGCCGGAAGTTGAATTGACGAGCTGATTAATTCTTGGCAGTGGAAAGTTGTCTTTACTTGTTGAGGTCGGTATAGTCGACGCACACTCTCCACAGGCCTTTATCTTTGTTTGCTACTAGAACAACATTCGCCAGCCATTCTACGTAGGAGACTTCTTCAATGAAACTGGCAGCTAGAAGCTTGTCGATCTCGGCTTCAATGATGGCAACATGCTCGGGGGCGAAGTTGTGTCTCTTATGTGCTATAGGCTTGATAATTGGGTTGACGTGTAGGCGATGACAGATGATCTGGGGATCGATGCTAGGCATGTCGGATGGCGACCATGGATATACATCTTTGTTGTTCTGGAGGAAGGCTGCAAGCTTTGCCTTTTCCTCCTGGCTTAGGCGCGAGCCAATCCACGCTTTTCTCTCTGGCTTGTCAGGATCAAGGGGTACTAGCTCAACGTCCTTTTTGGGCTTCCATCCTTCTTCAGGAGAGACCTCCGGACGGATTCCCTCGACTTGATCCTGATTCTTTGATTGCTATTAGGGAGTAGTTATTCCCTTTCCCTTCTGGTCTGCTCAGCTGTCAGGAACGGGATCTGCTTTCTCCTCTGCTTGTTCTACTCCTTTTAGATCTGCCTGATTCACAAGGAGGAACTGTGTTTGCTTGCCTTTCTTCAGCCCTTGAGCTGAGCATTTCCTCGCCATTGCCTAATCGCTGTTGATTTGGCCAATACCGTCCCCGGGGATTGGGTAGCGAATCTTCTGATGTGTGGCGGAGGTGATGGCGTTGATCTTGGTGATCCATGGTCTGCCCAGAATGCCATTATAGGGTGATACCTCATCAATGACCATGAACGTTTGCGAATTGATTACAAGTTGGGAGTAGACGTCGAGATCTATCGTGCCCGCGGTAATCGTTGTTGCGCCATTGAAGCCAGTCAGTGACTTGGCTGATTTATTGATCTTTGTCTCCAAGCCCATCTGTTGGATGACCGCCAATTGTAAGATGTTGGTTGCACTGCCCTCATCTACATGGATTCGGTTGACCATGGCCTGAGCAATTTGAATGCTGATGACAAGGGCGTCATTGTGTGGTAGATTAAGGCCGATTAGATCTTTCTTCCGGAAGCCAATCATGAGATCGTCTTCTGCTAGTGGCAAACTAGTGGAGACCTGAGAGATCATGGTGGCCTGTTTAATCTTTCTCTTCTTTTCTTTATTGGTCAGTTCGAACTCCTCGTAGTCAACTAGGATTGTGTTAATCCTTATGACCTTTTGGGGTGGCTCCTTGGGGGTATCGCGGTCCTCTATCTGGTGGATGGCCTGCTTCGCGATGAACTCTATGTAGTGACCTTCTCTCACGAGTTCTTCGAGGTGTGTTTTCCAAGCAAAGCAATTATTCGTATTGTGCCCATGTGTTGCATGGAAGGCACAATACTTTCTAGTATCCCTCTTGTCTGGATCTCCTTTCAAGGGTGGAGGTCTTTTTACCCAAGGTTTTTCCTTCACTTGGGCTAAAATTTGATGAATAAAGATAGAGAACTTGGTGTAGTTCTCTTTTGTCGTGGCATCTCCTTGTGGGCGAGACTTGCGTTTGTCTTTGTCCTTGCTGCCAAGCCTGTCGCTTCGTTGGTCTGCCCGCTTGGTAGGCCGATCTTCCTGTTTGGTAGACTTCTTCACGACTATTCGATCATCATCCTAGAGTGCATAGCGTTCTGCGGTCGCGAAGACCTTTGCCAAAGTCTAGTTGGGAGTGATAGTCAGTTCGCGGTATAAGTCGTGTTTTGCTGGAAGACCTTTCTTAAATGCAGAGGATGCGATTTGGTCATCGCACCCTACGATGTTGCTTTTCTGCTTTGAACCTCTTGATGTAGCCTTGAAGGGATTCGTTGGGCTTCTTGCGCAGGTTGAACAGATGATTAGGGTTCTTCTTTATCATCCGATAAGAAGTGTATTCTTTAGTGAAGATGTAAGTAAGCTCCTTGAAGCTGTTGATCGACCTGGATGGCAGGGTATGGAACCAATCCTGAGCTGCTTCTCGCAAAGTCATTGCAAACACCTTCCACATTAGCGCGTCTTTGGCTTTGTAGAGGATCATAAGGCTCTTGAAATGCCTCAGATGGCTTTCGGGATCGGAATCGCCTTTGAAGCATGTAAAAAAGGGCATTGAGAATCGTTTTGGGGGAGCAATTGCTCGATTTCTGCGGTGAAAGGTGAGGAGTTTGCTCGGTCTACCTCAACACGTAGTGCATCTTCGAAGTTTCTGCCAACCTTTAGGTCTCGAAGTCGGTTATTCACATGCTTCTTAATGTCTTCCGCACACATGGCTGGTCGGTCACGTGGATGACCTATACGATTCGGACAAGACTGAGTAACTTCCTCGTTGGTTTGCAAGGGTCGACCTTCTCCGCTGTGCTACCTACGCGGCGTGTTGGTGGATTGCGTTTGCGAGGGATTTTCTGTAACTTGGCGACGAGAATTGGGTCTTCAAGAACGAGTAGTAGAGCGCCTTTCTTCATGGTCCTCATTGTGAGGGTTATCAAGTTGGCCTCCCTAGGGGCCTAGCTTTTCGTGAATATTTCTCTACGAGCGGGCAGCGGAGCGCCTTTCTTCACGATCCCTGTTGCAATGATTTTCAGTTTGACCTCCCTGGGAGCCTAGCCTTTCATGAACATTTCCTTGCGGACCTAAGCGAGCATGGATGTTAGGTCTTAGGCCTAGTCTATCGCGCACGTTGGTCCTTAAATTCAATCTGGATGGGAGACTTCGTCTGCTCTGAGTGTGGCTTGCAGATGCTTGCGACATGTCGGTAAGCTGATCGCGTTGTTGTCCATCTCCTTGTCTGCTTACTCGACCTACTTGGTTCCCATCGAACTGCCTATCGGCGCATTCGTCCATCCTTTTTTCTTCGCCCTGTTGTCTAAGGCCAAGGTTTTGAGTCAAGTTTATTTGGTTGAGGAGCTGTCTCATCAAATTATTTTGGTCGTGCATTCTCTGAGTTAGCTGGTCAACTCTCAGATTAAGGTCTACTTGATTTTGTGGATCGGGAGGAGAGAAATGTGTGTAGCCCAATTGCACACGGGCTAGGGTTTCATTGGATGTGTACGCGGGAGCGTGCGTCGAGCGTGGAGGCAATGGAGAGAACGCTTGAAGCTGCTCCGAGATTGGGCCAAAGTCGGTGGTGGTAGTGAGCCCACCTTGATGGGAGGTTCCACCATGCTCAGCAAATGGTGCTATGAAGGTGGCTAGATTTGGCCATGGGACCTTGAGATGGTACGACGACAGTAAAGGCCGGCGCAGTGGTTCCAATCACATGGGGTGGCTGCTGTGGTGCGACAGCTAGGGTTTGTTGCGGGTTCATGGCGGTGGGAGGCGGTGGAGCCGCCATATCAATCACGGGATCATGGGAGGAGTAGCTTTGGGCCGTCACGAATTGAGCCATCGCGGCGGTTTTGCTCCTCGTGCGCTTGCTTCCAACCATGGTTGTTTGGAAGGCTTCGGTTGATTGGAAAATAGGAGGAACGGATTCCTTGAGCACGCATTGAGTATAACTCGTGCTCTCAATGAAAGCACCAAATGTTTGTGTAAATAATCTCATGGGAGAATGTTTGCTTCTAGATCCTTCAACCTTCGATCTTCCTTCTCTCTCTTCCTCGTTTCCTATAAAAAAGATTGGAGTAAATAGACCACACCCGGGGGGTGTTGGCCAAAGGCCCTCTGATGCCTAAACTAGTTCGAGTGTTTGTAGGAAAACAATAGCTAAGCAAAAAGTACGGAGTTGTATGTGTGGTGTGAACCGGGCGGCCAGAGCCGTGTGTGGTGGTCGGAGCCGTGTGGAGAAAATATGGAGAGTGGAGAGGGAGAGAGAGCTTCGGGTATTTTTCTCGAGTTTAGGAGTAGGTTTAGATGTACATTGAATGATGAATGAGGTCGTCTATTTATAGGAGCCCGGAGCTAGGGTTTCATAGAGAATATGATGAGTTTATCCTCTACCCAAATTCGTAGGGATCGAGTCGGACTTGATTATATCTCTTTATTGAAGGTAATATCTGATTTAATGATATTATCTTCTCTTTATTAGGATAATATCTAAATTAATGATATTATCTTATTAAATAAAGATAATATCCTATTAATTAAGATATTTATCCCTATTAATTAATTGGCCAGATAAACTAGTTCAATTAATTAATTTAAGAGATAATCTTCTTTTCCACGTGGCGTGCTGTGATTTGAGATGGAAATATTTGCTCCCACACAAGTTACCAGAAAGTCGGCTCTGATTACCAAGTTAAACAATATGGGGTACAAATATTTTCTGATATATTTTCATTCTCCAAAAAGAGGTATTTATAATACAAGTGTGTAAACCCTAGTAGGGTTATATAAGGAAACAAATAAACTCCTAATTACACTAGATTTGTACAAAAGGGAAAGAAATAAAATCATAATAGAATTTAAAAAGAAGGAAATCAATTGGTTCTATTCCTTTGTTTTTTTTCCCTTCTTGACCAAAAGACAATTCATTTTTTCTTCTTTTTATTTATTTTTGGTTTTTTTTTCTCTTTCTTTGTAATTTGCTTCTCATTTTATTTTTCTGATTTTGCTTTTATGATTAGTATTCAGTAGCAAACTCGAGAAAGAAGAGGCTCCGCGACACACAACTCAAGGTATGATTAATTATGATTTGTTTTATTCAATTTTTTGGTGGCGTATGTGTTTGCTGTCAAATATGTACATCGTTGAGAATTGAAAATTAGAATTTTAAGGCGGCTGTTTCAGAGTCTCTAGAAAAGTCAGCTCAGGTTATGCATGTTCAGTTTCGTGATAAATTGTATTTCTGCATTTACTTCATATTCTAGGATGTTCCGCTTCTAGTATTAAAGGGCTTTATTTTGCAAAAATAAAATCCCCAATATATTCTCCATCTGTTCTTCCGTTCACAGACCCAACGGGGCCTCTGGATCACTAAACGACATAGGTGGTTGGTTGGTTTACTGTCTGTCGCAATTGGCATGTTACAATCCATCTGTTCTTCGGTTAACAGACCCAACTTGGCCTCTTGAAGCTGATCGAGCATGCTTCTCTTGACTGTTTCATATGGGCTTTGAAACAATTATTCTCTTGCTTCCAGAAAACAAAACTAAAAGTAAGCACTAGCGTGCTGTGCTGCACCATGATTCTTCAGTGCCGTGTTGAGTTAAGCACTAGGGATGCTGACCTCCGATATTCTATGGATAAAATTTTGTGTGGTTCATGCTGCACTAGTAAGAAAAAATCAATGGGCATGAACATTGGCGTTCACAAAAGCGATTTGTACTAACAATTTTGGTGCCAGTTTAGCGAAAATTCTACAGTGCGCCAGTGTATGGATGCGCCCAAATTTCAGCCTTTAGATCACTTTGAATCTATGGCTCTTAATAAATTGAATCCCACCAACCTGTAAAACCGGTGAAGAAGAAAGAGAAAAACCAAATTAAAAAGGCTGACAGCCAACATGGGCCATATAAAAAAGACAAAACGCATGTTTATATATATATATATATATATTATTTTCTCTTTTGTGTTGATTTAATGTATACGAGTAGTAGGCTTTTTTTAATATTATTTATTAATTTCTCTTTTGGGTTGATGTTTATGTATATGAAAACTTAAAGTAAGAATGTAATTAACTGAAAAACCCAATAGAACTTAAAAGAAAATTACAATAAACATAAAAAGTTAAATATATTTAGATTAAAATAATAATAATAATAGGCATTAAAAATTTTGTTCCATGTTTTTCTTTCACTAATCTCACTTCTATTATTTCTCTATTACTCAACCAGTAACTAGCATGTGAATGATTTCTATAAATAAAAAATAAAAATAAAACCAAATATTTTAGTAAAATATAAAAATATTAGGTATGATCAAAATCAGGAAAAATAATAGAATGATCTAAAGTTTCAAAAAGTAATAGTAAAACATTAGATTTTTACATGTCAAATATTTATTTATTTGTGGTTATGTTAAATTTCAACTTTAAGTAATCATGGTAACATCTTGATTACCATTTATAAAATAGATATCTCGTTCAGTGACAATTTTATGTGCATAAAATACATTAAAAAAATATGTAAATGTTATTTCACCAAATAATTTAAAATCCAAGAATATAGATTTTTATAAACTTGATTCTTAGTTTAAAGTATAGCCTATATTTGCATATAACATAACATATTATTGCTAATAATTTAAAATCTAAGAATACAGATTTTTATAAAATTGATTCTTAATTTAAAGTATAGTCTATATTTGCATATAATGTAACATATTATTGCTAAGCAAAAGAACACTATCATACACAACCATATGATCATATAAATACTTCTTTGCAAAATCGACCAATACTAATTGAATTTTTTTCTTCATGTTTCCAATGTGAATTTTTTTTCGTTGTGTATTTATAAAATATATATGTATATATATATATATAATAAAAATAATCAAATATAATAATTCTATGTTAATAATATAGAATTATAAATATATATAAATATATAAATATGTTATACCTTAATTTACAAAGAAAAGGACCCATAGTACAATGTTAAGGTAAGAGCAAACACTGAAGAAGTAAAATTGGGTCCTTAGGCTTGTAAACACAAGAGTTTACATTATTAAGGACTACAATTACACTATCATGGACATATGCGTTCCATAAGCTTGTAAATCATACCCTTAAGTTTGTATATTACAATATTTGGTTTCGCATTTACGAGACTTCGCACCTCTGTTACAACGTTAGGGTGAATCCTAAGCTATAGCATTGTAATACTCATTTACAAAGAAAATGATGCCCCTTACAACATTAAGGTAAATGTGGACCTTAGAGAAGTAATTGTGAAACTTATTCTTGTAAACACTAGGGTTTACAATATTAAGGACCCACTTATAATTACTTGGACATCAAAGTTCTATAAACTTACAAAATGTATTCATAAACTTGTAATATCGTAATTTACAATAGAAAAGATATCCGTTACAATATTAAGGCAAGGGTGGACCTTGGATATGTAAACTCTTGGTCCTTATTCTAGTAAACTCAACAGTTTACAACAATAAGGGCTCGTGTTACAATGGTTTGGATGTAAATGTTCTATATACTTATAAAATGAATCCTTAATCTGGTATATTACAAGAGTTGGGTTCCCATTTACGCGTTTTTGCACCATAATTACAACGTTAAGGTTCCTTATAATCCATAATCTTATAATACTATAATTTACATTAGAAATGATCTTTCTTACAATGTTAAGGTAAGGACTGACCTTAAAGAAGTAACTGTAGTCCTTATTATTGTAAACGCAACGGTTTACAATATTAAGGACCCCTTTTACAATTTCTTGGACGTCAAAGTTCCATAAAATTATAAAGTGTATTCATAAACTTGTAATATCGTAATTTACAATAAAAAGGATATCCATTACAATATTAAGGCAATGGTGGACTTTGGAGATGTAAACTTGGTCCTTATTCTTGTAAACTCAACGGTTTACAACAATAAGGGCTCGTGTTACAATGGTTTGGATGTAAATGTTCCTTTACTTATAAAATGAATCCTTAATCTGGTATATTACAAGAGTTGTGTTCCCATTTACGCGTTTTTGCACCATAATTACAACGTTAAGGTTCCTTATAATCCATAATCTTATAATACTATAATTTACATTAGAAATTATCTCTCTTACGATGTTAAGGTAAGGATGGACCTTGGAGAAGTAAATGTAGTCCTTATTCACGGTTTACAATATTAAGGACCTCTTTTATAATTACTTGGACGTCAAAGTTCCATAAACTTATAAAGTGTATTCATAAACTTGTAATATCGTAATTTACAATAGAAAAGATATCCACTACAATATAAGGTAAGGGTGGACCTTGGAGATGTAAACTTGGTCCTTATTCTTGTAAACTCAACAGTTTACAACAATAAGGGCTCGTGTTACAATGGTTTGGATGTAAACATTCCATATACTTATAAAATTAATCCTTAATCTGGTATATTACAAGAGTTGGGTTCCCATTTATGCGTTTTTGCACCATAATTACAACGTTAAGGTTTGGTATAATCCATAATCTTATAATATTATAATTTACATTGGAAAGGATCTCTCTTACTATTTAAGGTAAAGATGGACCTTGGAGAAGTACATATAGTCCTTATTCTTGTAAATGCAATGGTTTACAATATTAAGGACCTCTTTTACAATTACTTGGATATCAAAGTTTCATAAACTTGTAATATCGTAATTTACAATAGAAAGGATATCCATTACAATATTAAGGCAAGGGTGGACCTTGGAGATGTAAACTTGGTCCTTATTCTTGTAAACTCAACGGTTTACAACAATAAGGGCTCGTATTACAATGGTTTGGACGTAAACATTCCATAAACTTATAAAATGGATCCCTAATCTGGTATATTTCAGGATTTGGGTTCCCATTTAAGCGGTTTTGCACCATAATTACAATATTAAGGTTCCTTATAATCCTTAATCTTGTAATACTATAATTTACATTAGAAAGTATCTCCCTTACACTGTTAGGGCCATG